AAATAATACCTACTCTGTGAGTTATAACAAAGTGTGAACATAGACAACAATGCCAGCGGTAGCCATAACAACAGACTTCTGTGGTTCCTGAGGGTGTCTTTTATAGTTTAATGAAATACACTACATTTCTTTAAAACAAATTAAAATAGAAGTCTACTCTCAGTTTTCGCTATTCTTCCCCAAATTCAGGGAATATACTCAGAGACGTTTCTTTCAACTGCAATTATTTCTGATTTAAAACGTAAAATTAATTTTTGATATTCATCTCCTGTACATTTTGACTAAATATGGGAATATAGGTTTAAAAATTGTCAGGGAAAGGACTTTTTTTAATGTGGCTGTTTATTTTAATAAAATATTTCTGTTTCCCCACAGAAATCAGAAACTGAGTTTTCATTGCTGGTGTACCTTTCAGTCCTTTACAATAAAAGTTCCCTTATGACTCTTGTCCGTGAAACGTGCAGGTTATTTACATACTGATGTATTGGTTTGGGCAATGGTGCAGGTACCATGTCCCTGTAGCTATAACCCTACTCACTATGTACATCCAGTTGCCCATTATTATTTCCTTCTGCAGTGAATTTAACAGTCTCTGTGGTAGGCACCAAAAAAGGATCAAGCCATCACCATCTTGCATTTTTGACATGATATAATGGAATGCGTTCAGTATGTGGAGCTCTTAGGCAGAACTGGAAAAAGTTTCACATAGGAACTGATATTTTCTGCTGTTGTTGAAAAAACAGAAAGTTATTCCAACTAAAGGAAAAATCAGAAGGGCATTCTAGGAAGAAGAATGACATGAGGCAAGATACAGAAACATAAAATGTGTCCTTTCCAAATTTATTTGCACTATCAGTACCCATACTGGCAATAATGGATACGAATACTGAGTTACATACAACAATCCTTCAATAGATTTTCACAGACTATTAGAAAAGGAATCCAGTTGGTTAAGCTTCTGATTTTGGCTCAGGTTATGATCTCATGGTTCCTGAGTTTGAGTCCCACATTTGGCTCTCTGCTGTCAGCACAGAGCCCGCTTCGATCTTCTGTCTCCTCTCTCTCTGCCCCTCCTCTACTCTCTGTCTCTCTTAAAAATAAACAAGAGAGAGAGAGAGAGAGAGAGAGAGAGAGACAGAGAGAGAGACAGAGAGAGAGACAGAGAGAGAGAGAGGGAATCCAAATGAAAATATACTTAATAAAGCATGCTGGTAATGATTTTATTTCCAAAAAAACTCATATCTACATTTAAAATTTTGTAAAAAAGGAATGCCTGGGTGGTGCAGTCACTTAAGCATTTGACTTCAGCTCAAGTCATGATCTCACAGTTCATAAGTTGGAGCCCTGTGTTGGGCCCTGTGCTAACAACTCAGAGCCTGGAGCCTGTTTTGGATTCTGTGTCTTGCTCCCTCTTTGCTCCTCTCCCACTCATGCTCGGTCTCTCTTGCTCTCTCTCTCTCAAAAAATAAACATTCTAAAATTTAAAAAAATAAAATTTTGTAAAAAGACTTACCATTAAAATGAAAGAAAACAGTACAAGCATCGAAAAAGATAAAATTAAGAGACAGTTTTCAAATTCACAGAATGCTAGAGAAGTGGTTAGTTCTCTTCATTATCATTATTATTACATGGGAACTCCAATCCCAATAGGTTTACAAACTGATCACCACCCTTTCCTGTCTCTGCCCCTTTCCTGTATTCCTCATATTCTAGAGAAATCTTCTTCTCTTTATCTGTTTGCGTGAGCCCACAGTCTTGTAAGGTTTGTTTTTTTTTCTTGTTGTTATTGTTGTGTTGTGTTGTATTTTGATTTCTAGCTCTTTTGTGCTCTTTAAAGTGGACTGGCATCAAAGTTCCACAATTCTATATACTTAATTTGTTCCAATCATGAGTTCTTTAAAGCCAGTCCTCTTTGCTTTCCCAGTGAGCTTATTCTTTTGGCCTGAAATACCTCCTGCTCTGAAGTGCACTGCATCACTGGCTAATTCTTACTCAACTGGTCTTATCCAGGAAACTTCTCAGATTTTAGGTGAGGTAAAAACATTTTCTATTTTCTTTTTTTCTCTCTATTTTTATAAACTTAAAAGACTGCATTGTATTGTAATCATTTACTCATCTACCTACCCACTAAACCATGAAATGCTTGGATACAGGATTGTGCCTTTTATTTTTATACTCCTACCTTGAGCAGGGCCAGATGTACACTAAATGCTAAAGAATTATGAGTTGAATAAATGAATGGGTACATTAATTTTCTGTTAACTAGTCATATCACACATTTACTTTATTGTGATCATAATGGTCTTTTGCTATGTAATTAATGAAATAATATGTTAATCCAAAAAAGGTAAAATAATCCTCAGTATGGCTTTAACATTATATTTTCTATCCAACTTTAAAATATATATATGCATATGAATGTATATATATATATATATATATTCTACATAAATTACAACTCTTAATATAGTTGTAAATAATAGTAATTGCCCCAAACTTATGATAAATTAGAACAGTAAATCTCAAACGAAACAAGACAACGGAATGATTAGGATCATTGGATCTCAGCTGAATTTAAATATAACAACCAGGAAGATGATTGGTCTATTTGTATCTTCTTTACCATACATACTTAGTAACTACCATACCCAAATTGATATTGTGACAACTGTGATACTATTATTTTTTTAAAAAACTAATGTTTATTTATTTTTGAGAGAGAGAAAGAGGGACGAATGGGGGAGGAGCAGAAAGAGAAGAAGACACAGAATCCAAAGCAGGCTCCAGGCTCTGAGCTGCCAGCACAGAGGCCATCATGGGGCTCAAACTCACAGACAGCAGGATCATGAGTTGCTTCGCTACATTAGTCAGGGATCTTTACCCTCCTTTAAACAAACCCTGTCCTTACCCCTCAATAAATATCAGGACAGAAATCACACTTCTCCAAGAAACAGGGGCCAGTAGCATTGGCAAATTCAAAACATTATATATAAACATTATATTATAAATTGCAATGTTATTCTGATGTGAAAAGATTCAAGGGCATTTTTATTACATAATCTTACAATTTAAGCTCATATGTTTTTAAGCAGAATTATACAATATTTTAGACCCTAGAACTAATTTTCACCCCAGAGCTAATTTCATAAAAACCAAAATCCAAGTGGTCCTATTGTCTCACTTTAGAGAATAAGAAAAACAGCATGAACAAAAGGGTGTCATTAAATTTTATGTAAAAATAGGTTTTATCCGTTACTTTTTGTTATAATATGGCATATCCATATCATAATAAAATATCCAAATTGAAATCAATGGAGTCTTTCATAACATTTACAATAATTTAGTAATTCACCGCTTTAACTGACACTTTTGATGGATGGGTTTATGTTAATGACAACTTAAGGCTGCTTTTAGTTTACAGGGTAATAATACCTGTAACCGGGAGAAAGAAAACCTAAAGCTAGACTTGGCTGTGTTCACTAGACTAGGACAAATTTTGTTTTATAACTAGCAAATTCCATAAGACTATTATGACCTCCAGGTAATGTATGTTTGTTTAATATGAAGCATCCTGAAGAGTATGAAGTGAGAAGCCAAGTCAGCCATATTGATTTTGAAGACAAGGACAATGGTTTGAACATGCAAAAATAATTATCTCCTGATAAAATACTGAAGGAATTAAAATATTCACATTCTTATGAATGAATGATGATAATAGTCAAACTTAGTACATCTGGTCATTATTTCCTGAAACATTATTAAAAATAGACTCTCTTGTGACTCTGTTTCAATTAAAATGGAATTGAAACTCCTGAATTTCCTGTTGCTACAGTAAAGAAAATACTTTAAAAGGTAATAAAATGCTTGGATAATTATACAGCAAAAAGTTAAAAGTTGCACATTACCTTGGAAATAGAAAAGTATTTACAGTACAAGGCTTCTCCTATTAGGTACTGGTGCTACCCAAAGTGTTTAAAATTAAGCTATAAAACATACACTGATATGATCACATTGACAATTATAAACATAAGGGACCAAAAAACAGAGATATAACCTATTAGCAAGAAGCAAAGTCTAACTGTTGAATATGGTATAAGAGCAGTGATTTCATGAAAATATTGAATAAAATTAATTTGTAAAGCAGAAAATTTAGAGCACTACAGTTGTAATACTTGTTACTGTGAATGTGTCCTATTTTCAAAAACCAAATTTTCTCAAAATTTGTTATTTCAACAAGCATATTGAATAGGTTGAACTTCTACAGAGATCATTTTGGAGTATATAATCACTCTAAATTATAAGTGCAGAAAAAGAAAAAAAGAAGGAAAGGCATGCCTTCTCTACTACCAAAATAATATTATTAAAAGTGGATGATAATGGTCATAATCCATAGAACTGTGGCATCCATACACCTAACTTTGACACCTAAACTCTGACACCTTACTGTGTGTTCATCCATCCCTAGCCTGCTATCTTAAATCCTTACAAAGACTTGTTCTCCTTTCTCACAATGAAATGCAAATGACACACAGCTCCAACATGACTCTTTCTCAGTATTTCTACTGTGCTATCCTTTTTGAGTGCATAGATAATGCACCTAGTAATTTATTATCCCCACTTACTATTTACTTATGTCTCTTGTCCAAAAGTGGTACAGGAATTACCTCATCCATATTTGTGACTACCACGATTGTTGCCTTTCCTCCAAGATTTAAAGGCAATAAATTCAAGAAATCTGTATGTTTTAATAATTCTGATATATTTGTAGATTAGTCAGAAAAATGGTTTTTTAAAACTTTCGAAAATACTTGCTGTGAGATCTCATCATTTCAAATATTTTTCTTTCATTGTGAGAATCATATTTCTATTTTTGACTTTTCAATAAGATTTTCTACGCATTATACTTTATATCGGTTTTCATGTTAAAATCTACAGAATGAGATTTACCACATTGAATGTAACCCACAGTTTCAATCTTTAAGATTCTCAATGTTACAAACCCAGCTCGAGGATCTAAAGACAGGTCCCTGGGGAACTTCAGCCTTTTGCTAACAAGTATAGTAGGGTATAAGCCATTGAGCTTGGATACTTCAATGATCCTTTTTTCTGTGTCAGACCAATAGAGGTTTTTTCCAATCCAATCAACAGCAAGTGCGTTGGGGACAGCTGTGTTATGTACTACCTAACAAAATAAGAATTTAAAAAGTTAACAATGTAAATACATGCCAAGAGTAAGAACTGAGTAATTGCTTCTTGATTTTTACAGAGATTAAAGAATGCCATTTAAACACTAAAAATGCAATTTAGATAAGCATAAAACATAGAACAGATTTACCCTAATAAAATTACATTTTTGTGATGTGAGAGATTACCTAATATGTAATCAAGCCCCTGAAAATTACATATAGATTTAAGATTTCATCCAAATGAAAACATGTTGGACAGCTGCAGAGTTGTTGATCACATTTTTGTTATACTTGTCTTCTAAAAACTGGGGGCAAAATTTCTATCACATACAGACACATACACACAGAATTATTGATATTATTTATCTTTAACAGGTTTTGGGAAGATACCAACGGCATTCTTCACTCTCCCACCTGCTCTTGCTTTAATTAAATTATTTACAACAAGAGAAGACAAAAGTACACATGAGAACATAATCTATTGTAACCTAACCAAAGGAAGTAAAATTCATACAAATGCTATGCTTGATTCTAACCCATATAAATATCAATTATGATAAAAATATAAGCTTTGCATGTAAAAATATACTGATGCGTATAATTAAACAAAGATTCTCAGTCTATACGATTGCTATTTCCTTTTTTAATTTTTTAATGTTTTTTTAAAATTTATTTCTGAGAGAGAGACAGCATGAAAAGGGGATGATCAGAGAGAGGGAGATAGAGAATCTGAAAAAGACTTCAGGCTCTGAACTAGCTGTCAGCACAGAGCCCAACTCGGGGCTCAAACCCACAAACCGTGATATCATGACCTGAGCCAAAGTTGGACGCTTAACCGACTGAGCCACCCAGGTGCCCCTATGATTGCTATTTCTGAGTCCTCATTGCTTTTAGGATTCTGTTAAATGAGAAACTGAAACTTGGAGCTGTACAGAAGTCAACAGATATATAATTGGAGAAAATAAAACAATAATGAAACTTTATGTTTATCCTTTCACTAATGTTATCAGTACTGAAGACATATATACATATGACAATATGAGCATTTTCAGCAACTGATGATATCAATCTACTGTATTCAGTTGCAGGATATATTTTCTTCTTTAACCCCAATTCCAATTTTAAAAACTGGCATGGCTGACAATTTATACCATCATCAGTGAACTAGTGAATTAGAAACTCACTAATCATAAAATCAGTGAATTAGTAATCCCAATAGGAAAAAAGATTTGTTTGTGACTATGTGTTACGACACTGTAGTAATAGGTTAGTAGTGGAAAGACATTAGATAGTTAATCCTTTAAAAATATTAAAATATACTCTAAAAACATAAAGGTAACTAAAATTTTAAATGTATAAAATATAGTCAAGTTTGGGTAATGTTAGTTTTATAGTTTTTATATAAATTTTCAAAGAATTAAAAAGAAAAAAATGCTTCTTTTTTCTATTTCATATACTGATATTTTATTTATTAACTATCAATTTATACATAAATACAGAAAGTTTATACATAAATACAGTCATTCCATTTATCTGAGCCCAACCTAATGGTTGCTATCACCCTGAATATACACCGTTCAAGATTTTATTAATATTTTTGAAATTGACTGCTCCCACTAAAACTTTCTCTATAATATTATAGATGGTTACAAAATGTTAAAGTAATTGATGGGTTCTATAGTACTTGAATTTAAGTGTCTTTATAATATATTTTATTGCATATATGCAATGCAAGTAATTTTATTTTAAAATTCAAGATAACACAGAAAAGTAGCTAAGTAGCTCATATCTACAATGTGACATGTATTTAATTATGATACTGTCTAATCAAAACTTTCATGATTTTACACAAATGCATTCAATTGTTTCCATCTATCAGAGGTTAATTTTAATAGTGCTATAATTTCTATCTACAGTCTGGTAATTAATTTTTTCAATTATAAATTCTCAGACTCAACTTTCTCTTTTTATAAGTCAACACAATTGAAACTCAAGCACTTATCATTCAAGCTGAAAGAATCCCTCATATTTTCTAAGGCTGTGAATAAGGTTCCGAATTTTATTTACTCAATTTTATTTTTATTTTATTGCAAGTAATAGTGTCATAATGAAACAATTGGATTAAAAAAACCTCATATTTCATATTTAATGTATTAACTTGCACTGTACAAACGTGAAATACAAACCCACCTAATACATTTTATAAGTTGTATCATTACCATCAAATAATATTTTCTATTCAAGTCAGCTATGCCAATAAAATACTCAATAATCCCATCATTGTAACATCTAGTTACCTTAATATCACTTCCATTTAAACACATTCTATTTATGCGGCTGCCATTGGGTCTGCTAGAATCAATCCAATAGATGAATTCTTCTCTGTAATCAAAGTCTATAGCAATAACATTGTTTAATCCCTAAAAATAAAAAAAGGATAATGTTGAACAATAGTTAATAGAAATTACTTAAAAAAATTTTTTTATGTTTTATTTATTTCTAGGAGAGAGAGAGAGAGAGAGAGAGACAGCGTAAGGGAGGGTCAGAGAGAGAGGGAGTGACAGACTCTGAAACAGGCTCCAGGCTCTGAGCTGGCAGTCAGCACAGAGCCCGAAGTGGGGCTCGAACCCACGAACCACGAGATCATGACCTAAGCGAAAGTCGGACGCCCAACCGACTAAGCCACCCAGGCGCCCCTAGACATTACTTTTTAAATGTTTCGGGAATTTGTAAGAATCACTATTTCACTTTGAACCTAAATAGTTATTGTTATTACAATAAATAGCATTTGTGACCAATACTTTTTAGAAGCATTTTATCTTTGCATTTCTCTATACCAGACACTTAAGATGTTGCAAAATTTATTTGAAAATATTTTCCAAGTAGGTCTCAAAAATTTTGGAATGCTTATATAGATTAGTCAGTATTGTGGGTGGGGAAACAAACTGCTTTTAAGGAGATAAAGTGGTCCTCACTTTAGGTAAATGTTAAATAAATATGAATTTAATGCCATTATTATCTGTTCTGTAAAGTAACTGGAAAAGAGCATAGACCTAAATTTGGAACAGTAGATGATCACAGAAGATTTAAGATCAGCCTTGGATAGTCATCTGATCAAAGTCAGAAAAGGTTTAGAAACTAATTTGTCCAAAATCTTTTGTCTCAACAACATAAACTAGCTGCCTTTTATTGTTGTTGGGTTTTTTTCTTCTTGCTTCCAGAGACTCTATAGCCAATATAGGGCCTTATTAGATTTTAAAAGTTATAACCTTAGGTGAGTATTTGACCAAAGAGGAACTGAGTGGCCAACATGTTTTTATCCTACGTGTATATATAATGATATACCTGCCTTCAGACTCATGGTTATGCACTTTTTTAATAGGTAGCAAAACAACACGAATTCAACTGATGAATTTCTGGATGCCTAGTTTTTTGGTTTGATAGTTGTGCCTTTTGACTGATTTGATTTAACAACTGTACGTCAGGATCGGGGAATCTTCTTAGGTGTTGAATAATTCAAACGATTGCTGAGGAGTTAGTTTAATGCTGACCTTTTGTTAAGGCTCATAGATTTACTACCACAATGGACTAACAAAACTTGGATCAGGATTTCAATTGTGTTAACTCATTTTAAGGCTTAGATAGCCTATTAATACATAAATATTATAGATTAAAAAATGATGATGGAGGGAAGGTGGGAGGGTGATGGGCTAAGTGAGTGATGGGTATTCAGGAGGGCATCTTAATGTTGAGCACTGCATGTTATATCTAAGTGATAAGTCACTAAATTCTATCCCTGAAATTAAAATTATACTATATATTAACTAGAATTTAGTAAAAAATGAAAGACAAATTAAAAATAAATGACACTATCAACACTTGGCAAAGCCCTATAAGATATCATCACCATATCTTTATATCTGTTGTAAACTTACTTATCTATATTCATCCTAAAATTGTAATTAAGTCGAAAATTGTTTTGGGGGTCATTTATAAATAGTTGTAGTCCTATAGGTTAAGGAATAGCATCTTCAGCACCTTCAGTGGTTTGGCACTATTTGTTTTGGGGAGGAGGGAAGGAAGGATGATAATTACCACATATGAATTCAGTTTCCAGATCTACTCCCCCAGTTGAGAATTAGAAATGACCCTGCATTAGATTTGTATAATCCTTCATAAGACTCAGGCCCAGGCTACATTATTACTGTTCATAATATTCTTTCTTTCCAATGATCTACAAGACTAAGGATGGCCTAGTTATAGGAGCAATTATGAGAAGGTTCTGGCAAATACTATTTTTTTTTTTCATTCTCACAGCAGGGACAAATTCTAGTGGTAATGGCATTAAAATCACAGGTTCACATCTTATACTTTTATTTGGCTTAACATGAGCACTCTCTTTCCTTAGCTCCAAATTATAAAGTTAGCTGAAATAGCCTAACCCCTTGGAAACTGCATGCTTTTGGTCGTAAATAAGAGACACAGGTAAACACGACCCTGTAAATTCCTCACTACACCCAGATGAATAAAAACAAGTGTACTTCTTTCCCACATTACTAATCAAAAATAACAACTCTAAATGTTTAAAAAATTCAGTCACAGATTCTAAAGATTTGTTAAGTACTAATTCACAAGCTAAATCCTGGAGGACTCCTTAACTAAATGCACTTCAGCATGCAGATCTAGGAAGTTGTCCATGTAAAATCAATCAAAGTTTTAAAATGTAAATTGAGTACAGTCCAAGTTCTATAGAGTTTAATAAATGCACTTCAAGAGTAGTTTGTAGTATCCTTTCGATTCAAATGCTTTTAACACCAGAGGAATATGGTAAATAGGTCAGGGTTCTGTGATGACCTGCAATTCACATGGATGAATTAGAGCTTTATAGAGAAAAGGTAGAAAGAATCCTGTAACTAACTTCAGGGAAGATTTACCCAATCAAGGCAGAATTATCCTATTCTTTTTTTTTTTTTTTTTTTTTTTTACAATAATCAATTTAGATAATGAAAATTCAATACCAAATTTAGCAGTTTGGCTATAAAAAATGAAAGCTATAAATGCAGAGCAATTAAAGCCCTGAATTCTGACACATCTATCAAAGCTGGTCATTTTTCTACAGCTTTACCCTTTAATCCCCACAGAAAACTTTGCAATTCTCTCTTCTCAGAATCATATGCAAGGACCATTAAAAAAGCCAAGGGCATGGTCAAAATAATGTCTAAACACTAGAGTCATTCCAGTGGTTTCAGAGCTGAAAATTGGTTTCATCAAAATCCTATTTGCTTCTTTCATTTCTATAGCTGAAGATTTGAACCCTTTGGTTCAACATGATTAATTTCGGAAATTGTGTTTTGTTTCTCTTTACAATTTTACTGGAATAAAAGGCACTGCAGGGATTGAAGTGGATAACATATAGGAAAGCTATTTGATAAATGCACGTAAATTAATAAAATATTTGATTAATGCATTTCATTTCCAAAATCCACGCTGTTAAAGTATAAGTGCATTTTCTTTATGTATGCAGTATATGATTTAAGTTATAGCCAGCCTACCTACAACTGCATTTTAGAATACACAGGGTAAAAAAAAGAGAATCTACCAGTTATTAAAATTCTTCACTGTAAACCTTCACGAGATTATACGGACTACAACAAAGAGAATAAAATTCAAGATATTAGGGTAAATCATTCTTCCTAATCACTTACACACCTAAAAATCCTCCCAAATTTAAGACAAGGATGTCTTTTCACTTATTTTGACTGAGAGAAAATAGGGAGACATAATTACTTCCGTTTTCTACTTCATTCTGCACATGTAGACAGAAATCTCTGAGGAAAAAAAAAATGTTTCTACTGCCTAGAACTCCTTGAAAATTTCTATAATGCTATAATGAAATGTAGTTAAAAATATCTTCCCTGACAGAAATGATATATTCCAAACAGACTGCAGGCAAAACTGGATGTAAGGCTTGTCTCTAGTTTTTTGAGTGTCTATTTCCTTAGTCAGTGGTCACATTAATAAATGCTTTCAAAAGACAGATGTTCAGAGTCCTTACGAGCATCCTCATCTTCCTCCCTCCCTGTTCATTTTCATAAATACCACACTGAGAAAACTATCTGATAGTCATCCCCACTTAGGTACTAGTGATTGGCAATAGTCAAAAATGATACCATGAGGGAAAAAAGTGTTATCTGAAAGTGTGCATTAAAGTGGTTTGGGTATATGAAATACTTAAATGATGCATACAGGAAAAACTCATTTCGCTCCATTAAAAACAATCTCTGATAACATATTAGCCATGAAAACAACAAAAGGGATACCAGCAGAAATGTCCTGAGTCACAGGGTTGGAAAATAAAGCAAAGGGTTGTCACTGAAGCTCTGTTACAGTCTTCTGTGAAGTCAATAAATATTGTTGTTATTTTAGCTATTAGTTCAGCTGAGCCTGAAAACAGACTGTCCTAAAGAGAAAACTTTCTCTCTTTATGATAGCGTAGTCTAAAAGGAAGGTAAACAAATAAACAAAAACAGGGGTGCCTGGGTGGCTCAGCCGGTTAAGTGACTGACTTCAGCTCAGGTCATGGTCTCAGTCTGTAAGTTCAAGCCCCAAATCAGGGTTTCAGCACAGAGCCTAGAGCCTGCTTCAGATTCTGTGTCTCCCTCTCTCTCTGCCCCTCCCCTGCTCAAGCTCTCTCTCTCTCTCTCTCTCAAAATCAAACAAACTTTAAAAAAAAACAAATAAAAAAACAAACAAAAGCAATCTAGTAAAAGAAAATAAGCATGTGCCTTTTCCAGAGACCATACAAGGATGGGTATATCTAACCTGGAAGGTATAGACAGGCTTAGAGGAGGTATGGAGACCTACTCCAAAAGATAAAGATAATTTTCAGCATTTTCTAATTTCATTATAAGCTTAAAATTAGATTGCACGGAAAAAAGAATTAAATTAAATAATGTAGAAAAACATTTGGGCAGCAAACACTTTTCCATTTTAGCAAGTTATACACACTAAAACTGTTTTCCCTGGAGTTATTTACTTTCACATTATTCATCTCTTAAAGAGAGAGCTAATTCTTATATTTTAAGTAGATTTCTGTTTAGTCTCTATAAACAACATGGAAATATTTTATATATTTCCCAATCTCTGTGGGGTTCACAATTAGAGAGAGGCAGTATGATACAGTGAATGTTGGTGGCACACTCCAATCTCAAGAGCAAGAGTCTAAACCTCACAGACGTTCATGAACATGTCGACATGTTGTAAGTCTATGGGACGTCTGAGGACTCCAGTGAAATGGAGAGCATGGCCTCTATGTCAAAGTGTTAACTGCCGTACAATTTGGATTGTGGATATCCAAGGATGTGAGATCAGCATTGCTATGCTTTCCTATTTATTTTCATGAGTAACCAGAAATCTGGATTTTCATGTGAAATTTTCGTTTTCAATCTGTGAGTTAGAAGAAAACTGGAAAATCTGTCAGGGCGAGTTGATATCACAGTTGCTAATGAATATTTACACTTAAAATGAGACTAAATTCATAAGAAAAATGACTGAAACTGACAATAGCAATGGAGAAATCCATCAAGAGGTGGCAAAAATAGTTTAGGTACTCTTTGTGCTGCTGAAAAATTGCCACATGAATGGCCTTCTTTGTCTATGCCTAATACTGGCATAAACATACTACAAGAACAAGAAATATCCTTATTTTTGGCTTGTTGTAGACAGTGCTTTCGCATATTTATGTCACTACTGTACAGTCTGGGGAAAAAAGGCATTTGCAGCCAAACAGATACAAACTGAATCTTCCCAAAGAAGCTATTTCTCCTGAAAACCAAATATATGCTATTAACTAACTGCATGTGATTTCTCTACTCCATGTAGTAATCACTGTAGTTTTAATGATTTGATTTATGCTATTTCTCTTGCAGACTGGGGGAAATAAAAAGTTGAGGTGAGCAACTCACAGTTTTCCATCCTATCATAAAATGGAAACCATATGTATCATCTCAAATAACATATATAAATAAACTCTGACAATAGGACTCAACATCAAAAGAGACCAACCAGATTCTCTTGAAGTGGACAGGCTGACGGATAAAGAGGGTAGAACTAAAAATATATGCCTTACAACCTTTGAATCGTGACTCAATTACAATTATACTTTCGCCCCCTTACTAATTCTAAATTTTAAAGGCTAGAGGTCACCAGTCCTGTTTTATTTTCTAGTTCTATAAACCAAAACTTAAAATTCTGGAAAAGGTATTAATTTTTTAATTTCCAAGGTGAAAAAATCAATTTAAGGAACACACAAAATACATTAAAAGATAATTTTATGCTTTCTTTAATCTAGCTATTCTTGAGACAGTTTTCCCCTTCTATTAATTATACCTTATATTTTTTACATTCCTAGATATGGTATGATGTAATATGTTCAGAACATCCCCTTGATAATCAAACAAAATAAAATTTAGGGTAATATCATATACAAACATACATGTGTCCATGAGTAAGTGCTTCATAAATTCCAATTGTCAGATATTTTTACAGTGCTAATGCATATCTGGAGTATACATATTAAATAAGAAATCATCATGAGAATGTCATACCTGTTTTAAAAGTGTGTAGTTGGAGCCATCAGTGCTAATTTTCCTTATTTCATGATGATCAGCAAGAATTAGAAAAGGTTCTTCATCTAAACACCGAGACAAAAAACATAATTATAATTTTATATGTATGTATTTCAGTTTCACTTAGTTCCAACTTTAAATTTCTATAAATTTAAAAGCAGTGTCCTCCAGTAGATTAATGGTTAAAAAATTCACACTGAATATCTCAATTCATAGTAAAATGAAAAGACAGCAGATACCCAGGCAGTATGGGTAAATGCATCCCTCTCTTTCCCTCAGTTTTTGTGAACAGCAGATTATCTAGTTTATTTGGAATTGGTGAAAAATATCTGCTATCATAATCTGATTTTTAAATAACATTCAGGAGAGAATAAGCTACTCCTATTTAGATTTCTACAGTACAGCTAAATATTCATATGATCAGGAAATTATTTCTTGATAATCTAATAACCAGCTTATGCTGTCAGAATGACTTGGGTGAAAATCAAGAATATCATTGCCTACATAGATTTCTTTAATCAGCCTGGAGACTTCTCTCAAATAATTTCTCAATTCCAGGTTCTTTAATTTTTGTTAATTAATTTCACCTTTCCCCATAATCCTGCTTTTTAATTCCTTTTGATCTTTATTTCATTATTTTAGTTGGTCCAATATATTGTGTATCTCATTCGTTCTAGAATCTAGGAAAGGTAATAAGAGGAATCTGACTATGCTCCAAATATATGAAGATCCTCTGAACCTTTAGAGTGGTTTTCTTTTAGAATCTTTTTGGAAACAAAATAGATTTTTAAATAAAAAATATTCAGAAAGTTTTATATACAACACATTTATTTGAATACGTCTCTGATTTAACTTCAAATTGACCACATTATTGACTGTTATATTCCTAGATCAATTCAATTAAAGTTTTGTTCAAACTCTTTACAGACAGCTTTGTTTCTAAGATGCAGCAGTCAAATGCCATCTCTTGTCAACTATATGCATAAATATAAAATTAGTCAGTCATGGTCTACCTTTTGTTTTAATGTTTATTTATTAATTTTGAGAAAGAGTGCATGCAGGGGAGGGATAGAAAAGCGAAAGGGAAGAGAGAATCCCAAGCAGGCTCTGTGCTGTCAGCATGAACTGTGATCTCAGTTCATAATCTTAGTTCTCATAAACTGTGAGACCATGACCTGAGCTGAGATCAAGAGTCTAACGCTTAACCAACCTAGCCACTCAGGTACCCCAGTCATGGTCTACCTTAATACTTAGGTAGTTCTGTTCCTACTACTTAAATGTAATACCTAAAATTATAAAAATTCTAGAAGAAAACATCAAGAAAATGCTCCTTTAAGGTCATGATAATGATTGTTTTTTAGATATTACACAAAAAACACAAGCCATAAAGGCAAAAATAAGCAGAGCTATATCAAACTAAAAAGGTTCTATGCAGCCAAAGAAACAATCAACAGAATTAAAAGGCAACCTATGGAATGGGAGAAAATATTTATAATATATATATCTGATAACGGGTTAAACTGAAAATATATAAAGAGCTCATATACAAACCAATAACAAAAACCAAAAATAAATTGATTTAATAATGGGCATAGGAACTGAATAGACAGTCTTCCAAAGAAGACATACAAATGGCCAAGAAGTACATCAAAAAATGTTCAACATCAGTAATCATCAGGGAGACACAAATTAAAATCACAGTGAGATATCCTCTTACAACTGTTAGAATAGCTATCTTCAGAAACACCAGAGATAACAAGTGTTGGCAAGGATGTGAGAAAAGGGATTTGTTCATTGTTGGTGGGAATGTAAATCCACTATGGAAAACTGTATGGAGGTTCCTAAAAAGGTTAAAAAAAGAACCAACATATAAACCAGCAATCTCGCCTCTGGGTATTTATCCAAAGGAAATAAAAACAGGATGAGAAAGATATATATCTGCACTCCCATGTTTATGGCAGCATTATTAACAACAGCCAAGATATGGAAACAACCTAAATGTCCATCAATGGATGAATAAAAAAGATGTGACATACATACACATATATATAAGTATATGTATATATATCTATGTTCACATACATGTATTAATTTATGTGTTTACACATGTGTATATTATATACTATATAATATACACATGTTATATATTTTCTATATTATATACATATATAATACTACATTATACACATACATACACACACAATGGAATATTTTTCTGCCATGAGAAATAATGAAATCCTGCCATTTACATCTGGATGGTCCTTGAAAACATTATGCTAAGTGAAATAAATCAGAGAAGGATGAATACTATGTGATTACCACATATACAGAAGCTCAAAAAAGTCAAATTCATAGAAATAGACAGGAGAATGGTGGTTGCCAGGGGTGAGAGAAATGGGGAGATGTTGGTTAAATAATACAAGCTTCCAATTAGAAGATAAATAAGTTCTGAGGATCTAAGGCACAGCATGGTGATTATAGGTAACAATACTACATACATGAAAGCTGCTAAGACAGTAGAGCTTAAATGTTATCACCACAAGAAAAAAATGGTAATTAGAGTGATGTAGAAATTCCTAACACTATGGTGGCACTCGTGTTGCAATATCTAAGTGTGTCATATAAACAGATTATACTTTTTTTATTTAAAGTTTTTATCAATTTATTTCTGAGAGAGAGTGAGAGCGACAGAGTGAGCAGGGGAAGGTCAGAGAGAGAGGGAGACACAGAATCCGAAGCAGGCTCCAGGCTCTGAGCTAGCTGTCAGCACAGAGCCTTGACGCAGGGTTCAAGCCCACGATTCCGTGAGATGATAACCTGAGCCAAAGTCGGATGCCTAACCAACTAAGCCACCCAGGTGCCCCGGCACATTATACTCTTTAAAGTTACACAGCTATGTGTCAACTACACTTGAGTAAAGTTGGAAAAAAATCAATCTTCTCTTTAGCAAAAGAATTATGCTTCAGGAACATTTTTTTTTTGTTATCATTACTAGTTTCTAATTATCATTGCTAATGAGAAACAACTACAGCATGGACACATAATATAATGAGACCAAAACTGTAATCATCAGCATTCATTTTCTTCATTCTCTCCTTTGTGAATAGTTTAAAGTAACAAAAACATCGACTGGTCTTGTGATTTTCTCTCTTCTTATTGCATTTTGCTGAATGCATGATGTAGCAAGTAGGCTGGCAAATAAAACAACAGGATTCCAATAATATACAAATTGATTCGGGGAGGAATACCCCAAGAATAAGTAAAAGTGAAATTAAAAAAATTGAAAGGGTTATATTTTTTTCCATAATGTGCAAAGGGTTAACCAGTTGAAAAATTAATTTTAAGAATCCCTGGTGCCTGGGGGGCATTTGGGTGGCTCAGTCAGTTAAATATCTGATTTTAGCTCAGGTCATGATCTCTGCATCCATGAGTTTGAGCACAGCCTTGTCTTTCTCTGACTGATGTACCTGCTTAGCATAATATACTCTATGTTGTCATGTAAATGTGACATGCATATACATAAGAAGCTCGCAATGCTGTTTGAGTCAAACAAAATAAGGGACTAGAGATAATACTATGTTCCAGTTTTTGCTCATTTAGACAGCCATTTGTTATATACTGTTTTGCATTATTTTAATATGTGTGATTTTCTCCCCTAATGAATTATAATATTTTTAAAATTATAGTCCATGTTCTATTGAATTTTCTAATTTACAAAGTCAGATATAGTAGTAGAAACAAATATAAATTTAATAATATTTGGAAGTCAATGGAAGAATTCAAATAGTCCTACATAGCTGATTTATTGGTATTATGTCATCATTACTATTATCGTTATTGACCTCCGTGGCACAATATACGAGCATATATGGTATAGGGGAGAAGGAAAACTATTAGAATAAAGTCAAAATAGGCTCTTTAATAGTCTTGGTCAAACTTATTCTTAAGAACCTGTGATGCAGCAGTAAAAAAGGCTAGAAATAGTTTTTTATCTTTTTTTTTTTTTTTTACCTCTGAGCACTCTCAAAATCTAAAAAAGCACTTGATAATTGACAAGATCATAATGCAGTTTTATTACAAACAGAATACCTTGTGGACAGCACACAAAATTAGACTGACAGATTCCTATATCAAGGTAAGTAAGGAAGACTTGTGATTTCTCAGAAACAGCAAAGGGAAATGAATTTAATAAGAATGGCTATAAAATTCAGAATCCATATGTATAACTGAGGTTGGATCAGTGGATGAGTTCAATTCCATACCTGAGAGTGATTTGCAGCCATTTGGGTTATCAGGTTGTATTTCATACCCTTCTGTACAGAGACACTTGTAGGTCCCATATGTATTGATGCATTGCTGGCTACATGGAAATCCCAAGGAGCATTCGTCAATGTCTACACATGTTTTACCATCATCCTTCAGTTGGAATCCAGGCCAGCATTTGCACTGAAGAATGAAAAACAAGTAAAATCATTTCATATCATTGTCTTTGTTTTCCTAGTGGATATCTTTTCAGCATGATTCAAGTAAAAAAACTCATTTAAGAATACATAATGATGGGGTCCCTGGATGGCTCTGTCAGTAAAGCATCTGACTCTTGGTTTGGGCTCAGGTCATGATCTCATGGTTTCATGAGTTCAAGCCCCATATCGGTCTCCGTGCTGAGAGTGTGGAACCTGAGTGGGACTCTGTCTCCCTCTCTCTCTGACACTCCTTCACTCACACTGTCTCTATGTCTCTCAAAATAAATAAATACACTGAAATAATTAATTAATTTAAAAATATTAGATAATGGCAAGTCTTTCTGTCTTCAGGGATTAACCTGTAAGAAGAATTATGTATATTAATTAATATTAAAACTAAAAAAGAATTTTCCCAAATATCTTCATTTGGTCATCTGAGGTTCACAAGATTATAAAAGTTAACTGACATCATCAAAGCCATGTGGCCGTAGTATGGCAAGGACCAAAAAACCAGTCAACTTCCTTTGTTCTTTTTGTACTGCATTACCTTGTCTTTTTAGAAGACTTTGACAATCATAAGAATTAATAACCATTATGCAGAACTTTGAAGGCTACTAATATTGGTACAATGTTATTTCATCAGAGCCTTACAGAAATCAGTGATGTAAGTGTTATTATTTTTAGTTAATATAAAGGTGAAGTTGTCTGGATAAAGCCAGAGAATTGCTGAGACTACCTATAACATATAATAAGGCTCAGTTACTATTGATCAACTGGGTCTGATCCGATACCCTGGCATGCTGATGTTGTCTGGAGAAATAAAATAATATTAGCATAATTTCTCACTATAATTTAATCAATTTATGTCATCAAGTCTTTTCTTCAGCATCTTTATCATGTACCATATGAACCTCTGATGACAATATGCAATATTTACGAACCAGCATATAAATTCTGATGTCACACCATATATGTCTTTGCAGTCCTGAAAATAATGACATACTGTGATTGGCCACTGCCTTTCAGGTCTATATTCAATTCCTTCCTGGTAGCATATGAGAATTATAATTACACAGATTATTGTATTATGATCACATTAACCTTTGCCAAAGCTATTTAGCACTCTTAGAATTAAGGAATGTGTAAATATTGAGTAGGACAGTGAGTTAAAAAGAAACCCTAAATTGTCAATAGTAACTAGTATCCAAAATTTATTCAAAGCAAACATTTAATAACCTATATCATTTATCTGAGGATAAATGTGATGGCAGAGCTTTGTATCTACTGGGAAAAAATTAGAGAGAGAGATGTACATATTATTAAACAGCATATAACTTGAGTTCTTTAAGTACCAGAAAAAAATCCATTAATTGGTAGAGACACCACATCATCTTCATTTGAAGGTGTTCTAAAGAGAACTAAATAGCTGTTACAAAGTTCTTTTATAAGAAATGAATCACTTTATGGGGCGCCAGGGTGGCTTAGTCGGTTAAGCGTCCGACTTTCGCTTAGGTCATGATCTCGCGGTTCGTGGGTTCGAGCCCCGCGTCGGGCTCTGTGCTGACTGCCAGCTCAGAGCCTGGAGCCTGTTTCAGTCTGTGACTCCCTCTCTCTCTGACCCTCCCCTGTTCATGCTGTCTCTCTCTCTCTCTCCTAGAAATAAATAAAACATAAAAAAAATTTTTTTTAAAAGAAATGAATCACTTTAAGCTCTTCGTGCTTTCATTAACAATTTACACCAATATTTAGCTACTAATTCTCAGCAAAAATGAGGGGTTTTTTTTCCTTTTGTTTTTAAGCCAACAAATCAACACAAAAGCCACAGCTTGATTTCCCAAACTCTCCTCATCAAACTCCTCCTTTCTTTGTGAATGCTTATCCTGCTACCTGTTTTAGGAAGTTAGGACAATTGGTTTTTTCTATGGCAAAGGAAAATGAGATGCTTAACGCCACCTAAGTGTACACTTAAAAATGGTTAAAATGGAAGGGGTGCCTAGGTGGCTGACTGGGTTGGGCATCCAACTCTTGATTTTGGCATGATCTCATGGTTTGTGGGACTGAGCCCCAAATCAGTCCATCTCTGTGCTGACAGCATAGAGCCTGCATGGGATTCTCTGTCCCTCTTTCTCACTATCTCTTTACCTCTCCCTCTCTTTCTGCCCCTCCCTCACTGACACTCTGTCTCTCAAAAATAAGTTAATGAAAAAGATAGGTAAAATTGTAAATTTTATGTCATGTATATTTTACTACAAATTTTGAAAAAAATATTTTTTGAAACCAGAAATTGAGAAAATGACAGGATACAAAAATATATCACTGAAAAGGACTGGAGTAGAGATCATGAAGGCCAGAAATCAGAGATCCAGAGACTGACATAGGGCAATGTTGAATTCAAGGCATACTTTAGGATAAGAGAAAGGAATCTTAAAGGAATGTTCCAAATTCTTCTCAGAGAGTATTATAAAAGGAAATAAACAGTGTCCTAATTTTAATGGGATTTTGAAAATCACTTTGAATGGCTGGTATCAGGCTTATAAAACTACTATATCAAATAGCTTCCACATTTATGGAAAATTAATTTCTTAAAATTGGTAAAAGTGACTAAATACACACTTCTATAAACAAATGAAGTAAGTATGCTTAAGCAGTTATCAGTAAGTTTTTAAAAGATTGTTTATTTAAAGAGAAGAATTTTTTAAAGTATCATTTTCCCCAATCCATTGACCTTATTTTAACAAAAACATGTTTTGCTCTCAAATAACCCAAAGCTCTCAGTGGGACATTTTACCAGTCTAACTTTCATAAACTGAGTGAAAGAAAATAATCATTTGTACCTTCAAAGATAAAATATGAGAGATTCAACTACATTTATTGGAAAATAAGTTTAAAATTTTCTAATTTTCATTTTCCAAAAAACAATTATTTATGACAGTGAGATTTATATATATTCAATGTCATTCTAATTTTTCTCATCATCAATACTGACTTCAAATTTTCCTGATTTGTATTAATTTTTATATAGGAACATATGGCTAGCAGAAAGAAATATAGCTACCCAAACTTTTCCTATTAAATTCAGAGAAGTTTCTTTGCAGCTTTTTAAGTGATATTTGACAAATATTATTTTATTTTTAATACGTACATTAAAACTTATTTCTCTCCAAGAAGTACATTTATTTTTACATGGTAAATTATCCTTCCCATCAAAATAAGATCCTTGCTTTAGTAAATGTTATTACTCCCTGCTGAATAGTTACATTGTATTTGTTTTAAAACAAACGTGCAAATTGTTCACAGTCCATAAGGTCTAAATTTTGCTTTTGTAAGCGATTTTCATTTTATTGTAGAATTTGGAGGAGGATTTCTTTCCATGTTCTATAGCTATTGTAATGAGAAACAGGTTACTGGATAGTCTTCTACATCTGCTGGAAAAGAGAAACCAATAAGCTGACTTTCCCCTCCTAAATATAGAAGTATTTTGTTGTATATAAGGCTTTTTATTCAATTTCCTATCAACAAATTATCATGAATATATATATATATGTGTACACATATAATGTCTTAATACAATATATAAAATACTTGCTTTGAAACTTTGTTTAAATCTCTCATTTATGATTCTAGTCACAGCTGCTTGAATCTTTTTTTGTTCTTGTTTCCCCAATTGAGGTTTTATTTTATTCATTAGTTTTGACATGTGTACATATTCAAGAACACTATTCATAGCCATTGTGTCAGGTGTCATACACAGAGATTTTCTGAATGATTAAATAAATATATTATCTATTTTAACTAGAATTCTCACTTCATTCTACAACCCTTTCTGAGAAGTCAAGGTGAGAATATTGTTTTCTTTTTTAAGTTATCAACAAACAAGTATCTCTGAATGTGGGTCTTACAAATAATTAAAATAGTATGGTTTAATATGGTTTTCTAAATATGATATTTCTGAGCACTAAGTGCCTCTTATATGCAGGCATTTTAAAAATATTAAAGGTCATTGTGATGTTATGTCAAAAGGCGGCCATCTAATCTATAATTTTTAGATTTTAGCACCATTTTTGTTATGACAGATTTTAAATACATTCAAAATAAACACAAGGAGATCTACTTTGAAATTTAAGGTTTTAAACAGATGGGAAGATAGACATGATAGATAGATAGGTGATAGATAGATAGATTCTATGATAGATTCTATAAACATAGAGAAATATACAGATAGAATGTAAAAATATAAATTCTTAGTTGAAAATTTAACTAATTATCTGTAATAATTCTATGACATGTTCCCTAATATTTCAAGAAACTATACTGATTGTGCTTAAGTCACTAATAATATTTTTTCTGCTCCATTGAGTCTCAAATATTTATTGTCAAAATTAATTATCTGATACATACTTATCTCATTAAGAATTATTTTGGTTCACTGTTTTGTTTCATTTTACCTATAATACAATGTTTGTAAGTGGCTGCATGTGTGTTTTAAGTCTGTAACTGAAAAAAAAAATGTTTGTTTTTGAGAGAGAGAGAGAGACAGACAGAGTGCAAGCAGGGGAGAAGAGAGAGAGAGACAGAGACAGAGAGGCAGAATCTGAAGCAGGTTCCAGGCTCTGAGCTGTTAGCACAGAGCCCAATGCAGGGCTCTAATTCACAAATTGTGAGTTCATGACCTGAGCCAAAGTTGGATGCTTTACCAACTGAGCCACTCAGGCACCAAGTCTTAATTTAACCAAGTCTTAATACAATATTCAAACTAAAAATTTATTTTTTTAAACAAATATAGCTTCCTTAGTGTTTTGGTTTTTATCCCTGTTTTTGCACAGGGGAAAATGATCATCGTAGTTTTCTGGTTATATATATGTATATGTATATATACATGGTTATATATATATAACCATGTGGTATCAACATGGCAGTATCTCTATAAATACTGTTCCTCCTTTGATTTTTTTAAGTTCAGCATATATTGAAAATGCTCAGCATTTTCATATATGTTCAACAATATTATGGTGCAAGTTAAGTTTTACAATTATACTGGATTAAATAGTGTTCGCTATCTCAAATTTTAATGTATCACGTGATTTGCTATTTTTGATGAGTACCTACCTTGTAACTCACTGGAAGATCCTGACAATCTTGAGAACATCCACTGACTTTCTTACTCAAACATTCATTTATATGGCATACATATACATATATATATACATATACATATATATGCATATATATATATACATATACATATATATGCATATATATATATACATATACATATATATATGCATATATATATATAATAAAATCCTACCAGTGTAGTTAAATCAGTCACAATACCAGAAATTCAGAGATTACAAATGCCCAAATGGTTGTTTGGCTAAATTTACCATTAGATAGAACGGGCTATTATGGAATGCCAAGACTGGCAGGGAAAAAAGGTGCAACATCTTTGTAATATACAAACAGTTTCTCTAGCATGCTTTAAAGAAAGATAGCTACAATGTAACCTCTTTAGTAGTGAGAAATGAGACAGCTTATTCCAAGTAAAGAGACTATTTTAGAACACTCTCCCTCAGACTGAAAAGAATCTGTCTCCTAATTTAGAATTCCAACCTTTGAAACAAACTCATATCGGTCTGCTCCCTATTCCAGTACTTGATATATTTGAATAGATAACAATTCATCTTTGTTCCAGGTAAAACCCCTTCCAAAGGTGTGTGTTCCAGACTCCCTATGCTTCTAGATGTACAAATTTGTATACACTACAATTTGTCAAAGTTCCTCTTAAAATACCATGCCCATAAATGTTCATAGTACCCCAGGTTTGTTCTGATCAGTGCGGACCTCAGGAGAATAAATTCTGACCTCTATAATAGCATAACTGCCATTAGGCTGACTATGTGTTTTAGAGGAGGGTGTCCTTTCGCTATTTCATACAGAAATAAAAACAGTGACTTTTGAATGAATTGCTTTTCCTAGTATTTCCCCACACATAATCAAATTTAACTTAATGCACAGCCTTAATTTTAATGGTATGTTTATTTGCATCCTCCATTCCAAAATGAATGAACAGAAATGTTTTTAATAGCTAGGCTTGTCAATCAGTTTTGTCAGTGAATCACCCTCCTCAGTAAAATGGTACTAACAAAAGCCAATTAGGATACTAGGCATGATTTATTTTTAGTGTACCTGAACTCAGTCCTAATAATTTGTGCGTTCTGTTTTTTCTTCCTGCTCATACGAAAAATATTGTATTATCCAATTTGTGGTAGATAGATCATCAGCCCATTTCACCTCAAAGATGGGAGAAAGACTGAGGGAAGAAATGGGAACATAAGAGTTGCATACAAATTTATGTGGTATCAACATGGCAGTATCTCTATAAATACTGTTCCTCCTTTGATTTTTTTAAGTTCAGCATATATTGAAAATGCTCAGCATTTTCATATATGTTCAACAATATTATGGTGCAAGTTAAGTTTTACAATTATACTGGATTAAATAGTGTTCGCTATCTCAAATTCTTTTTTTTTTTTTTTTAATGTTTTATTTATTTTTAGAAGAGAGAGAGAGACAGACAGCGTGAGCAGGGGAGGGTCAGAGAGAGAGGGAGCCACAGGCTGAAACAGGCTCCAGGCTCTGAGCTGGCAGTCAGCACAGAGCCCGACGCGGGGCCCGAACCCACGAACCGCGAGATCATGACCCAAGCGAAAGTCGGACGCCCAACCGACTAAGCCACCCAGGCGCCCCTCGCTATCTCAAATTCTAATGTATCACGTGATTTGCTATTTTTGATGAGTACCTACCTTGTAACTCACTGGAAGATCCTGACAATCTTGAGAACATCCACTGACTTTCTTACTCAAACATTCATTTATATGGCAGTTTCTCTCATCTGAGCCATCACCACAGTCATCCTTATTGTCACAAAGACCTCCACTGGGAATGCACCTGCCATTTTTGCACATAAAAAATGAACTGTTGCATGACTGTTCTGGAAAAAGAAAACAAATAGAACATAAAGGGCATGCCATTGCTTTATACTAGAACTGTTGAAAACATTCACAAATATGATAACTTATCTGTCAAAACTTATGGTAAATATATGTGCATCAAAAATTCTCAATATATAGTGTGATATTTTATACCCAAAGTATAAAAAACATCAAGAGCAAAATGTACTTTCATGTTCAACACTTACTGAAAATCCTTCTTTGCCATGAAAATTAACAATCAAAATAAGCATCTCTTGTAAAATTAATGGAATATTTCTGTCTTCACTTATATTGTGAAGATGAAACTCAAAAGTGTAATGATAGTTTGACATTTCCCTTTAAGCCAAAGGTCTCTAAGAAATTATATATCGCTAAAAATTAAGAATCTAGAATACGTAGATATTCCTAGATTCTTTTTCTTCCTGGAAATATAACATTGGCATTTTTAAGTCAGGGCATAAAAAGGACATTTGTGATGAATAATAGTTTTTCCAAATATAGCTATGGAAAGGAGTTTAGGTTTTGAAGCTACTTATAACCTGATGACTTGAACATTACTCATTATCATACATGATAAAAGAAAGCCTATTAGCATGTAAAGTACATGAGAAAAAAGTAATTGGGTTTATTTTAAATATATGACTATGTATTCAGACTTTGGAATAGTGAAATGATAAATAGACCAACTTTGGCGATGTATATGTTTCTGTTCAAATGATATGCAATTTATTTCATTGTGCCTAAGTATGAATAATACAGACCTTCTCTCAGTAAATCTCAGCTTATTTTATGTTTAAATTTTCAAATAGGTCCATACCAGGAAATGATTTTCACACAAAATCATACATTAAGAAAAAAATTACTTTTTCGAAGGGAGCAAGGCGATGGATTCATTAGGTTCATTGCCTCAAATCTTTATATTTTGGCACAGATTTAAATTTCTAAAAGTATCTTCAAAACATAGTTGATTACTAGGATCCTAAATAGTATCACTTGAAACATCATATGCTTAATTATTTGCCTTTTTTTCATTGAATATCATACTAGAGTGGCAATCAGAGTCACAGTTTTGCCATTAAAAAGCAAACGTTGGGGGGCATCTTGTGGATCAGTCTGTTGGGCATCCGGCTTGGGCTCAGGTCATGATCTCATGGTTCATAGGTTCGAGCCCACATCCGGCTTTGTGGTGACAACTCAGAGCCTGGAGCCTGCTTCAGATTCCGGGTCCCCCTCTCTCTCTGCCCTTGCCCTGCTCACGCTGTCTTTTTCTGTCTCTCAAAAATGAATGAACTTTAAAAAATATTTTAAAAAATAAAAAGCAAATTGTGGAATAAGCATACTATTATATATTTTCTGTACCTGCACTTTTGCACTTTGGGTTTAAAGGTGCTTCATCAGAATGGTCAGGGCAGTCAAAGTCTCCATCACACTGCCATTGAGTACTTAAGAGGCATCGACCATCAGCACAACTAAATTCTTCCACATTACACTGTCGATATGCTAGAGGCAAAAAAATAAACATTCGAGTTCATATAACAAATACTCATTAAAACTACATCCCCCAATGTATACTATACCTACTTAACCATGGGAGTCACCCATATCTCCTATGAGAAATGTTTCTAATTTCTTTTGGGGACAGTGGTCATAATGCAAGAGATATCTGTGATTGAGAACTAGGATTAAGGCCAGAAAATAAAGTAAAAAACAAGGCAATCTTAGTGTTTCTGAGTGAGGAAACAAAAATGCAGTACTCAAAGATACCATGCCATCTCTGTTCACTTATTATCTATCCCCTAAAGATTTCCCTTTGAATGAAAAACTAGAATAAAGCTATTAAATTTTTTTTCAAGACTAAGCTTGGTTAGGTATAGCACCAGAACATATGGATGAAGTGATTCTGAGTTATAATAATAATTCTCAGAAGCTGTAATGCAATGTTTATGTTTGGGAAGCAGTGCTGAAAGTGTAAAGGCACTGTTAAAACAAAAAAAAAAAAACAATTTATAAAGCAATAAAAACAAAACTATTATAATTATCCTACATATTGATACTTAGAGGTATTAAAAAGCTTTATTCAAATCACAGTATAAATGCATCAATTTTTAATGTTCATATCTATGCCTGTTTGTAAGTAAAAGTCATTTGATTTTGAATATCATGAGTTTCATACTGAAGTTCTTCTCAGTTGGTTAACAGTAAAAACTGTCATGTCTATTAAGAAATTTTCTGGTAAATCTGGCAAATATTCTACTTTTGAAGAGAGGGAATAAGATCTGTATGTTTATTAACAAATAAACAAAACTACAATAGAAAAACAATTCAACCATGATTATACAATTGAGATGTTTATCACATAGAATGGCAAAATTAGAGAGTTCTAAAATACTCGTTTCCCTGATCTTTCTTCTTCCCTCCCGTTCTTCACTAGTTCATTCTCCTCAGTCAATAGGTCAATACATACATTACATTCAAGTCTCTCCCAGCCCACTAACAATAAAAATCCATCAACATAACTCTTAACTATACATTACTCTTCTTTCCTACTACCCTAGCCAGTGTTCCCTCACTTATCTCCAGATCTTCTTCAATTCATTAATATCCATGTCCACATCTGCCTCTGAACCTCCTCTTAGAGCTAACAAATACCAAGTGACAAGTGTCAAATTCAAAGGTGTCTTGGACTCTTATCCATTTCACTTTCCTGCAGCATTTTATGTTGAAGACACTACCTTGTAAACAATTCCCTGGTTTAATATTTATTACCCACTCTCCTGGACATCTTTCTAACTTCACTTTTGCTGTCCCCTTTTATCCTTCTCTCTGTATGAAGTCATCTCCTGTTCACTCCTAAAATATTGCAGATGAAGCCGTAACTTCAATCTTCAACATGTTGCTTTCCTCTTTTCCTTTCTGCAGTGCTGGATGTTCTCATTCTTGTCATAGTTTGAATATCACCTTTATGCCAAGGGCCACCAAATTAATCTTGATTAATTTTCCTGGTCATACTTTGGAATTTTCAAACACTCACTGTACAGCTCTGTATGACTGTCTGATTAACACTTCATATCCGAAGTATCCAAAATTGATTCTTTTTTACATTTCTCTTCTCCTGCAAAACTTGTCCCTTAATCTCCTGTGTTCCAAAGTTCACCAATAATAACACCATCCACCAAGTCATCCAAGCTAGAAATTCTCCTTTCTCCTCCATATCTGACTGGAGATGAATTCTGACCCATTCTCTTCTTCCCAATCCACCATTTCTGCCCTGGCTTATCATCACATCATTAATCATCTGAACTACTGCAATAACTTTCTAGCTAGCTTACTTTCTCCCTAATGTCTCCCTTCACCCAGGGTAATATTTCATCAACTCTGCTGAAAAAGATGGTCCTGAAACCTATTTTGACTGCGGCATTTCCCTATTTCAAATACCTGCTGCCAATTAGGAGCCAAATAATTAATACAAATTCCTTAACACTGTATTTCAGACTTTTTAGAATCTATCTTCAACTTTCTAACTTACCTCAGAAAAGACTAATTGCTATTCTTCAACCATGTCAATTCACATTCATTTGTAAACATACATAGAACTTTCTATGTCCAAAATTATTCTTAGCACCTTACAAATATTAACTTAATTCTCTTAACATCCATGAGAGCTTAAAAAATGTCATATTATATACATTAACAGATGAAGACTTTAGGTACAAAAAGGTGAAATAACTTCAAAGATCACACAGATAATAAGTGGCAAGGCCAGGATCTGGGCCCAGGACATCTGCCCCTAAGTTCCATGCTTTTAACTACTTTTTATGTTTTCTACCATCCAAATATGACTTCCTCTAACATTCTTTGCTTCTTTATTCTTTAGTGCCTCAAAGACTATTCTCTCAGTTTTGATCCATGGATTGTGATTCTTATTCCCATCTGACAATGTGTGCTACTTTTCTATATTGTATTTCTGATTTTCCTGTTTGTCCCCAATTTTCTCTATTGGGATCTCTGTCCAATTCATCTCCATATCAACTGAATAAGTGTCTAGCAGAGGGAAGATATTCAATCAGAATAATTGTACTTCAGATTTACATCATGTGTTATGATGTATCTTTTAAAATATCACATTGAGGGATGCCTGGATGGATCAGTCAGTTAAGCATCCGACTTCAGTTTAGGTAATGATCTCACAATTTGTGAATTCTAGCCCTGGGTCAGGCTCTGTGCTGACTGAAGTTCAGAGCCTGAAGCCTGCTTCGGATTCTGTGTCTCATTCTCTCTCTGCCCTTCCCCAGCTTGTGCTCTTTCTCTCTCTGTCTCTCAAAAATAAATAAATGTAAAAAACAATTTTTATATATCACATTGACTCCATGACTTAATAGTGAAATGAACATAAAAACTGATACCCACTGATTTCTATCATATTGCTATCAAAAACCAAGGCTATAGACACAACATTGGAAGAACAAAGGAGGGCACTAAATCTACTACCTTTCGTTTTTTAATATTTTATTTATTTTTGAGAGAGACAGATAGAGACAGTGTGAGCAGGGGAGGGTCAGAAAGAGAGGGAGACACAGAATCCGACGCAGGATCCAGGCTCTGAGCTAGCTGTCAGCACAGAGCCTAATGCGGGGCTCGAACCCACGAACCGTGAGACCATGACCTGAGCCGATATCAGACGCTTAACCGACTGAGCCACCCAAGTGCTCCTGCCTTTCTTGATTATATGTGGATTTTAAGGCTTTTCATTCTGTATTTTTTTATGTATGTATTTAAGGTTTTTTTTTAATACTAGGTTCACATAACACTTCAATTTCAACTAGGAATTTTTAATGATTTTCACTACAAAAGTTACATTTGTATTTGTATATACATTATATATGTATTTGTCATATAAATATATATGCAAAGATAAGATACATTTCATCATCATAATATGCAATTTTAACAAATAAGTGTACATGTAAAAAGATAGGGTGAAAGGAAAATATTAAGTATCTAATTTCTCTCCTAGTTGTGAATTCTTTTTTTTTTTTTTTCTCACTCAAGCATTCAATTTGGCTATAAGACTGACCTAGCTAGCCATATACTGTCTTTAAAGTTTAAAGTACACGCAACCATAGACATTTTTGTAATCATTTCCCTGTGTGGCTCCTAATAAGAATATACTACATATAGGCATGATCTCCAAATCAATGTGTAATGAAGCTAGAGCTTAAAGAAGTTATTGTGGTGCATCTATATGTTACTGAATTTACATGTCCTTAGTGCATTAAGAAATGCGTTGTTCTTGTCACTTATTTATGTATTTCTTGAGACATCTTAAAAGATTCTTACTCAGCCTGACAACCTCTTCTTTGAAAAGTTCAGATATACTTACTGCACTGCAGTGACTCATCAGAGCCATCTCCACAGTCATCATCATGGTCACAAAGAAACTGCTTGGGGATGCACACTTTATTATGACACATGAACGCATTTTCATCACATGTATTATTGGGAGCTGATAAAGGTATCACAAAAAATAAAGTTAGAGGAGTAACTGTTTCATTCTCCCCCACCTTAAGACTTTGGGAAGTGTATGCTGTTATACTCAATAATTCATAGTTATCTGGAAAAAAGAGAAGTTTACTCAACATTCCATTCATAATATGGATATACACATAAATTCATAATATATATTAACATGCATATATTTATATATCAAATGTATGAATATAATTCAAAGTTTTAGCATTAATACATTTACCAATTCCAGATTGACCCTGATATTTCAGGCCATTTAGCAATTTGTAAGTTTGCTGAAGGATGGATTCAAAAGTTCATATGTGACAAAAAATCATTCAACTGTAATAATTCGGCTGGGTTTTTCCTCTCCTCGTGCCTGTAGTAATGCTAGTAAAGTGATAAAAACCTTGCTTATTTGTGAAAAATGAACCTGAAAAGACTACCAAGTGCTAATGCTCATGATGGAAGTGAGAAGAAAACATCAAAATAGCTAAGAAAACTGTTTCTAAGATGAAAATAAAACTTGGGTGACTTTGAGGTATTGAAATAGCTTAAAATCTATGGTATGATAAGCCCAACCAGTAAGTACCACATCAAATTAAGAATATTGATCCATGAAATGGAATACTGATTTTTTTGGGTCCTAACCAACCAAGGGAAAATGGTTAACCAAAATGTTCACTAACCTTTGGTGAAAGTTCAAAAGCTAGTAACTTGTGCAGAGTGAATAAATTTTAATACTGTATGCATGGGATCATAATGGTTTGAGAAGATTATTTAAATATTTTCAATTTCTTTGGCTAATATTTAAAAGATTATGTTAGGGCTGAAGGTTTGAGATATTTTGAATGTAAAAAATCTTCCATATAATATATACTAACTAAACTTATTATAGTAATCACTGTAAAATCAGATTTTGTTGTTTACCTAAAACCAATATAATGTTATATGTCTATTATATCTCACTTTTAAGTAAAGTAAAAAAGAATCTGATAGATATCATTATAGCATACCAGAAAGAGGAAGGTTTTGCAAAAAGTCACTCTGCTACTTATGATTTGTATCTGAAAGAAGGTTTTTACTTTCTTGCTGCATCTGTTTCTTTATTCATTTAATGAGGATAATAAGATCTTATCTGATAAACTTCTTGCAAGAACTAGATAAGGCATATGAAGTATACCAGCTCCTTTTAGATACTCAATAAATTCCCAGGTGCTATTTAAATTCCTATCTATGTAATAATCATTTTTGGCAGATCCCCAAAAACATTTCATGAAGATATTGTGGGAATTCAATAATGTAAATAAAACAACCTAACAAAATAATTGACATATAATGGGCACTTGAAAAAATTTACATGCCTTCCCTCTGTGTCTTAATAGGTACCTCCCTCTTCCTAGAATAACTCTTCTCTTTTTTCTTTTTCCTTCATGACTCGGATAGTTATTTCTTTTCCTTGAAATCCTTCTATGACACTTCTACCCCTTTTTATATAATATTTCTTTGTGATGACCTAGTATCTTCCATGTTTCATTCTGATATTTAAGGTATTATGGTTACTCTTTTACTTGCCTATCAGCTCTCTCCCCCTGGAATTTCCCATATTCAAAAAACGAAATCTCTGCTTTCAAGTCAGTAATGACTATAACAGAGATATGAGTAAGTAAAACAAAAAGAATTCCTTGGATTTAATCACATGTAATACATTTTCAGCAAATTTGTTCTCAAAACTGATATGGAAGCCACGTAGAAGCAGCATTAAAAACTGCCCATTATAATCATAGTAAAACTCAGTTACTAAAAACTCCTCTAACTTTGAACTATGTGACAGCTTATATAACTCAAGTAAATTATGCCAATTCTAATACATGAATTATTCGTTAAAACACTAAGCAACAGTGGCTTATTTGGCATTAACGCTTTCGGGTCACTTGAGTACAATTTGTTGTACTTTAGCATAATTTACTTAACAGCACCCATGTGGTCCAAAAGTGTTAATATGCCTCCCGGAGTGTTAACTTACTACAATAGCAACAGTATACTGGGACCATCTGGATCCCTGAATTGATGCATAATCCTTTATTATGTAGCCCTCAGTGGCCCCATTGACCTTAACAGACACACATAACAGTTTCAAGATCAAAGTGAATTATTCTACAATAGCATGGGATTTGTGCACAGAGGCCTGCCTCATAGTTTTCTTTTTCCTTCTCCACTTTAACTATTCTACCCACCCATATATATACCCACACAGACACACACCTACATTATGGCTTCAAATATAGTTTTAAAGACCTGAAGACAGGTCATTGGAGAAATGATTGGCAGAATTGACTTTAATAAGCAGAATTCACAGCACTGTTTCTGATAACTTGCTCAGCTCAATGGATTCCCTCTGTGACCTTGGGACTGGGCTTCCAAATATTGAGTCCCCTCATTCTCTTGATCATGCAAAAGAATTTATCTAAATTTTTCTATTGAGTAATTCCATGAACATTTCCTGAGGTGACCAAGAGTTAGAAAGTTAGTAAATTGTTTGACCTCCAAAGGTGTTCCCCTGATCCCCCAGCTTCATTCAGCTATATCCATACTATTTTTACCTGACCTAAGGGTTAATACCCTCTCCGTAGGACTAATAGATGTTTACTGACCTTCTGATCAGTAGTCATTTGGGATCACATCAGCCATTTTTTAGATTGTCTGTAATAGGCAATCTAAAAGCCTTCGTGGGGGTGGAAGTGGGATTCAGAAAAGAAAATAACAAATCCACGAGAGTCACCCACACATCAGATAGCTACATAATCTCAGAGGTGAAACAATGGGTCTGTGTTCATCAGAATGGTTTTAAAATGGGTAGTCCCAATGTGCATGTTTGAAAAGCTCTGGACTGCAGCTGGTTAGATGGGTTGCTGAACTACTCTGCTGACAACATCCCACCTGATTAATGCTGGTACTACGTATGAGACCAGGGATTGGGAAAGTGCCAGAAAATATGTGACGGCGAATCCTACAAAAGCAAGGGTCTGAGGATGCTGTGACAGCTTTCCTTCACACTGAGCCCTACGTGTCTTACCGCAGCCTGCTGTGGAGAGCTCATCACTTCCATTGGGACAGTCCCTTTCACCGTCACAAAGCCAGTGCCGCGGCACACAGGCATGGGAGCCCTGGCAGCTGAACATGTCAACCGCACAGGTGGCTGTGCCTGAAACCCAAGGAAAGAATGTCATTAAGATCACTGCATGTCTGCAGGGAAAGGTCTAACGTTTATATTTCTCTTAGAAAGGAAACAGATGAATGTTGCTAACAAGGAAGAGATTGTAGTTATTTGGAATCATCAGATAGCATCCTTCTCCCAACAGATGTTTACACATTTTCATCCCAGAATGCATTCCTTCCTAATTGCAAGTGTTAGATTTCTTAAGGCTACATGGCAGAAAACAATAAAGATCTTTTCTGCTTGTAAAATGTAGCAAAGCATGTATGTCATAGAATTGTGAATAAACTTTGATAACATTTCTAAAAGACTGAACCTATAAGGATAATAATAATAGCAATAGTTATAACAATATAATGATAATAATGGCATTTTTATTGCTTAATATATGCTAGGCACTTAATATATTAATTCATTTAATTCTTGCAATAATCCTAACCAGTAGATTACTACTGGTCTTGTTTCACTGAAAGAAAACTGAGGCTCAGAGAAGTTGAAAAGCTTGCAGGATATCACAAGTTGCACAGAGTCCCACAAGTTGAGCTGGGAGCCCAAAATCCTTCTGACTGCTAAGCACCTTCTCTTAGCCACTAATGCCATGACTGTTATTTCCCACCTTGTGTCGGCTGAAAAAGAATAAATGTATGCTTGCTCCTTTTGTTCATACATACTTAATAAATAGAGTCTACCTTTTCTCTGTTCTGTCAAGTCAATGTCCCTTTAGATGTATGATGTTTTTCAGATGTATACAGAAAAAAAATGCTTGCTGACTTTCACTACAAGTTCAAAGGGTGGTTTCTTTGCTTTTCCTCATGTGGGTATAGGGTAATCATATGAAACAGAACATGATTATTTCTCATGATGTTTTCCTGGCTCCTGGTTTTATTTATATAAGATGCTTGTTGAGTGAATGGGTTACATGACCCTCAAATCATGTTCTAATTTTTCTTTAACTTCATTTTCCTGGGAGCAAAAGCTGCCCATAGAAAGATGCTAAAACAATTGTTAGAACTATTTTTTTAAAAAAGCTTAATACTTCAGAAAGAAAATACTACTGAATAAAATGATGAGAGATGTTTGTTTCTAAACATTTAAAGCAGTGACCAACATGCTTTCATGATATAATCATTATCATCTCTCTTTTCAGCTGTAGAGTTGCTAGGAGCAGAAAATGGTTTTCAATGCAAGTTTTCTATATGGCAGGGCAGCAGGGTGCCCAAATAAAACTTCTTGAGGATTTTATCCATCATAAATATGACTGTCCTTGACATATACTTTAGCTTAGAGGACAGGATGGCAAGTGAATATAGCAAAGTCCTTCAGGTAATTCAGATTTGCTCATTTGACTGAGGATCAGTGCTAATAGAATGAGGTTTCATAGGATATCTATTCCTGGAAGAAATCATAAAAAATCTATTAAATAAATGTTGCTTTCATTTAAAAATGAATTTACCTGCTAATTATTATGTCTTTAGTACCTTCTATAATAAAATTATCTTCCTCCGGAATTTATTTTTATACTATTCCTCATAATGATCTATCTTTTCCAGCTTGCTATTAGAATACAAAGTGTCACTTTCACTATTAAACTCTCAATTAGTGCTTTAATTTCCATAATATTTTTGTTATTTAGCTTGAGTTTGTTTTTAAGTGCATTCTCCCTAGTTAGGAAGTTTTAATACATGTAAAACTCCTGTCTATTTTCATATTATCACCCAATTTATTCTCAAGGTAGGCATAATAGATATAACATCAATTTGGCTACTGAGAAATTTAATTCGGTATGACCTTGGAGAAGACTAGTGTCTGAGCTTCACTATTTGTAAAATGAGGGGTATGACTAGATAATTACTAAGACACCTCAAGCTATAAAATGGCATGAAGCTCTTTGCAGCTAATTTCCTGGCTCCCTTGATAGTATTCAATAGATTCTGTGTTAAGAGCATGCCAAAACATCAGAGTCAATTGGAAAGAAAATGGGCCAAAGAAAAACCTCATGGCTTCATCCCATTGTTACCCATGCCCATCTGGAGACACACTGCCTTCCTCAGGAAAATGAATCCCAAGAAAGGAAGAAGACAAGCTGAAAGATTTCCCCCAGATTCATCTTGGGTACCTGCTCAGATATTATATTTGATTGGTAAGAGTTACTATACCATTTAGGAAATCTTCAAGGAATCTTAATTCTGGTCCCAGCTCTGTTGTCTCTGATTCCCCAAGTGACTTCAGGCAATTTACGAACTAAATGGGATCCTGAGATCCCAAGTCAGAACCACTATTGTGTTTATCAAGAAAAGTTGTGCTCATGGCTGATATTAGAATTTTTAAAGGTGAAGATTAAGAATCTAAATCTTTAACAAACTTCTAAGAAGAGTCTCTTGTGCACTTAAGGGTGAGAAGCACTGAGATAAATTATTCATAAAGTTTCTTTCAAATCCTAGTATATTAGGTTCAGTTCATTCAATGGTATGTGGTCTAAAGCCGTCTTTTTTATGTGTCACCAGCTTAGCAGTTAGCATATAAAATACAACCTGTAAGTAAATGAAATAGACAGGTGTTGACAACAGGTATACATGTGGTAAACATGTCCATTACCATTTTAATTATTTAAAAAAAATATCAGGACATTGATAGATGTAGATGGGCAATAATACTCTGAAAAATACAGGAGAGACCAGAAGGAATAGAACATTTACATTGTATACATCAATCATGTTAGATGATCACAATAGTTACATGAGGGAGATCTTTTGTACCCTCTTCATACATAACAAAAACGCAGATGCAGGAAAATTCAACTCTGTATGATTACATAAACTTTATTTATAAGTTCTATTTTACTGTGTCCACTCAGAAAGAACAGAGGTATCAATTGAGTACTTTGGTGTAGGGTGAAACAAAGGGTCAAATGTAAGATGATTTTAGTGACTGGAAACATGCTCAACCCATTGTAAGTAGGTATTTCTTTTGTTAAAATTAAAAGAGAAAAAAAAGATTCAATAGCAAAGAGAAACAAAGTACTTAAAAGCTACTGGGAGACATCTAATTGATTAATGATTCTCTTTCCTTTCAGAGTTTTTTTGATAGTGATCCTTATATATTTATCTGCTGCATAACTAAGTTGTTTCAGTTATTGAAATAAAAAGTAGATTTGTGGTGGCTTAAATACAAGAAAATAAATTGCCCGCTTTCAGAGGACATCTCCAATTTTATGTTATTTACAGAGAACTTCAGTTGAGCTTGGATAGCACAAAATCTTATCACCCTGTTTCAATAGAAGTGACCTAAAAAGCAGGCCACAACTACTGAAATTTAAAAATGGTGTTAAGTGTACTTAACTCTGTACATGCACCTTATTCTAGGACTCAGGTCCTTCTCTCTCTAAAATAAGGATGATAATAGCTCTGAAACAGGGCTAGTATAATGAGTAAAGATTTTATGCCTACAAATACAAACACACATATAGAAACAGATCAGAAAGATAAATAAACACATAGACAAATAAATAAATGGAAGAATGCTTGGCCATTTGCAATAAATTTGTACAAACTGGATCACTTCCTTCTTTTGTCCCTTAAAAAATTAAGCTAATAATCCCATCTAAGTTATTTGTTAAATGTTTGTGATTCTTTAAAAGCAATTACACTGGCTCTGTAGTGGATACATAGTAGGACGTTCTACCTCTAATCCTAGAAATCTGTTTATTGCAGTACATTTTAAAATTATATAAATAGCACCCTTCTTTACTTTCCATTTAAAGCAATCCGATAATAACAATCACTATAATCCATATACACAAACATAAATAGTGTGAGTGATTGTGGCAGTATAAATCAGTATATTTTTAGAGGTCAATGTAGCAATACCTATCATGAGCCATGAATGATGTTTGATTACTGGATCCAAGTAATCCCAGTCATTAAGATCTATTCCAAAGAAGTAATTGAAGAGTTAAAAAAAAATAAAATTTACAAATGCGTTTATTGTGTGAATATTCAGAAAAATCTTAAAAATTGAATAACCGTGTATATAAAAACAGTAAAATGACAGGTTGTCATTAAAATAATAAAACTAGCGACATGGAAATGTATATGTAAGTGTAATATTAAATTTAACAGAGTAGAAACAGAGTTTCATGTTTTGCATGCCCTAAAATGATAGTGCATATTTATCATATGCTTAAGAATTGAATGAGAACACAAAAGAAACAACTCACCGCAAATGCTATCACTTTCATCTAATCCATTGCCGCAATCATCCTCTCCATCACAGATCCAGTGTTTCGATATACATTTTTGTGCAGAACAAGCAAACTGGTTCCAAGAACAAGAAGAATCTAGAAAACAAACAAAAATGTTTGCTTTACATGCAAAAGAAAAAAAAATCATGTGAGACCATCTTAAGACAGATCTGACAGTGAGAAAGTCCTTCCTTCAGACTTTGCTAAAATCAATTGTCCTATAATAAAACAAGCCAAAAACAAAAAACAAAAAACAAAAAACAAAACAAAAAATAAATAAATAAAACAAGCCAAATTCGTCTTCTCTACTATAGCTCTATAAAATTTTGACAACAGCCTGAATATTCCCTCTGAGTGTTCAGATTATGCAACGTTTTTCCTCCCACAGAATTCTCACAGAATTATGCTGGCCACTCTCCTCTACGTACATTCCAAGGTGTCATTAAGAAAAAAATCAACATCTGGTGCATAGATATATAACAAATATTCCAAGTGTGGCCTAGTCATCTGTTCTAATTTTTAATTGATTTCGGAACAAATAGAGAAAAAAATGCATCCAAAGCAAGATTACAATATGCTATATTCACCAGCATATGTATTTGTTTATAATGATGAGGTGACTATGGGAGTTTTAGCTCAATGGTAAGTCACCAGTTTCATACCCATAACATACTAAACACTTAGCTGTTTTTACTTCTCTCTCTTGGGGACACTCAAGGCTAACTAATAATATCCAAATTCACTGGCATGGTGGGTTGTATTTTATTACCAAATTATGCATTTATAACAGTGTACTCCAAAGTCAGGCGTGTGATTTTTCTCTGTCACTGTCAGCTTATCGCTACACTTAGCCTATTCATTACCAGGCAACATCCAAAATAAAGTCCTTCCAAGTGTTCCAAGTGTAAATTATAATAAAATTTATTATATTATTTATTATTATATATTATTATATAATTATATAATATAATTTATTATATAATTATAATAAAAATAAACATTTTGATTTTGATCCTATAAACTATTTAAAAACCTTGCATCTTTATTTAAAATATTCATTTAGATGACCAGTGGAAAAGAGAAGTTTAGAAAAACTGAAGTCTGGAAAAAATGAAATTAAAGAAAATACAACCACATAATGGCTTCCTGTCCAGAAACTATGAATCTACATAAACTATTTGTAAAGTTCTCTGTTAATCCTGTTCAGAATCTGGCTCTAATGTAAAGATATATAGCATCTTAATCAAACAAAATGCACCTTCATATTTCATGATGACATTTACTTTTAGAGGAGTCTGACATTTCATAGAAGATCCATTTTTAATCTTTTCCTTTACTTTGTCTATTCACCACAGTGTATGTTATTTGTGTTAAATGAAAATAGTGAATATATGCTTTGTTTCCCTGTAGGAAATTTCTTTGGCTGAGAAATTACAAACTCCATAAATTCTATAAAATAAATTTTAAAAATGCTGTCTTGCCTTGCCAAGTAAAATGAAATGTACACTCAGAGAAATTAGTAGGTAGATGCTGAGAGATGAGCATTTGAGGAAATACAAGCTTAAGTATACTATTTTAAAAATACATGTAATTAATAGAAACATTTAGAATAATAATAGTCAATAGTCAATAATAGGTAGGCAGTGTATAATGAGTAGTGTGAACTAAATCTTTATTTTTTTTATAGCAGAAAATAAATATATTAGCATTTCTAGTTAATAAGTAAGAAAATAAAGGTATATCATTTAGATTGATAAAGATAACCATTAAAGTTAAAAGAAAAAACTGGGACAGGAGATTGTTATTCTTTATTATAAGTTCTTCTGTTCTACTTTAATTTTTATCATTTTGTATTATTTAATAAAAATGAAAATTATGAAAATCAGCAAAATTTTGTATATAATCCTTGTGTAAGAAAGAGAACCTCAGCATGTAGGCATGTAAGGAGTAATATACATACAGAATAAGATAGAATGTCTCACCACAGTGGAATTCATCAATCCCATCCTCACAATCTTTCTGACCATCACATATCCAGGTATTCAAAATACATCTTCCACTAGGACAACCAAAATAATTTTCTTCACATTTGTGTTTGTTTTGAACTGTGATAAAATACAGAATGTAATGTTAAATAATTTCAATTAATATTAACTTCCAAAATATAGGTAGATAATAAAACAGTAATAGTTCTTAAACTGGAAGAGATAAATAATAAGAAAATTTAAATTAAAAAAATGCTGAGGTGGTCTCTTCAAGAATGTCAAGGTCAGGGGTGCCTGGCTAGCCCAGTTGGTAGAGCATGTGATTCTTAATTCAGGATCATGAGGTCAAGCCCCACATTGGGTATGGACCCTGCTTAAAATAAAATTTTATATATATATTAGGGGTGCCTGGGTGGCTCAGTTGGTTAAGCATCCAACTTCAGCTCAGGTCATGATCTCATAGTTCATGAGTTTGAGCCCAGCGTTGGGTTCTGTGCTGATAGTTCAGAGCCTGGAGCATGCTTTGGATTCTGTCTCTGTCTCGATCTGCCCCTCCTTGCTCGCACTCTATCTCTCTATCAAAAATAAACATCGTTTTTTTTTAAATTTCTATATGTTAAACACACATATACATATACATATTAAAAGGAACATCAAAGTCATGAAAACCAAGGGAAAACTAAAACAAAAACAAAACAGAAAGTGGCACAGATCAGGAGACTAGGAAGATATGATAATCAAACCTGATCATCCTGGATCAGAAAAAAGATAATGGAAACACTTGTTAAATCCAAATAATGTGGTGTATCATTAGTCAAAATAAAATAATAAAATAAAATAATAAAACAAAAGTGATATAATTATTAAGTGAATAGGACTAAGGCTAAAGAATAATTTTTGGTGGAAAATATCTGTAATTTTATATTCATAAAAATAAATAACCTTACAAAAACATTAGTAGATCTTTACTGAGAAAGTGTGGGCGGGGTGTTCCTACTGTCCTGTATTCAGAGTATGTTTTGACAAGGTTTATATAAGCATTCTCTACTTTAAAAAGAAAAACCATTTACAATGTAATCTCTAAAAATTTTATATCTTACAGAAATATCATGAGAATAGTAAGTATCTGCATGCAAAGTTACTTTGTAAATTACATATCTTTTTTTTAGATTGTGGAGTATTATTATTATTATAACTTCTAAGAGAACATATAAAATAATAAATTTTTCTCTGCTGAATGTCATTGGTCTCCTTGCACCTTCAGGTTTACATAGTTTTAGACTGACTGGCCCATGGCCAATTTGGAAGCAAACCTTAGAATGTACATCATAATATAATCCATTCACACTACAATAATGACACAATAATCCATTATGAACTGCATTAAGATACCAATTCCATTTTATTTTTCAAATGTCAATTTTGTGGGTTTAACTGAGGATGAAAATAAAATTTTTGATGGAATTCACCACTATACTGAAAGAAAAATCACGAGTGTGATTTATGTCTTACTCTTTCTTAGGATACTGCCTACATATCACGTAAAGTATTTAGATTGACCCATTTCTGGCTTCCTGTCTGTCCATCTACCTGTCTCATCAGTCTACATGAGCTCCCCTCTCCTTCCTGCCCACTATAATCAAAACTCTTTGTTAATGTTAAAAGTTAACTTTAAAAATAATTTGTTAATATTAGAAATATATAAGACCACAAAGCTTTTATGTATATATGTAAGTTTAATGAGTACCTATTACTTGCTGCCTTCAAGTTAATTTAAAAAAATAATTACAGCCATAATGAGGTAAATAATTTTTGTAGAAATAACACTGGAATATGAATCTAGACACCCAGGCCCCATGAGTCTAAATTGGTGTTACTATATTTCTTTTAGAATGTTTTATGTGATTAAAAATAAAATGTGGAAGAGTTGCGGTGAGCCACAGGCATGAGTGCATATAAAAGGTCTTCATAGAAGTAGAAAAGTTCTCCAGTTCCTCCTAGGAAGCAACTAGCCTTTCAAACACAGAAGGAACAAAAATGACATCAAGAATGTTACACATTGTTGAGCAGGAAAACAAAGAAACAAAAGGAATCTGCTAAAGTCAAATTAAGTGATCGACTATGAAATTAAGAATATTGTTCAACACTTTGGGGCATGTGTGTGTGTACACTGCTGTATAGAATACCCATGCATGTAATTTCTTAAAATATTTTTAAAAACTTTCATGTCAACTAAGCATGGAAAAAGTTGAGTGTAGCTACAGGAGAAGGACAAGGAAATACTGTGTGAGGACTGTATAGGGAACTACTGCAAGAGTCTCCTATAAAGCCTATCTACTTCCAGTTATAGTAATTTAACACCTTTGTTTCCTGTATTTTTAAAATTTGTTTTCCCAAATACTTAGAAATGAACAGGACCATGACTTATTAACAGAAAGCATTCTGTTAAGAATGCAGATGTCACTTTCAGAGCTTATGTTTGTAAAGATGGTTAGAAAGTCAGATATAAATATACCTTTATGACCGTGAACCAGTGAAAATAAGTGTTATTCATGCTACTATGTCAAAAGATTGGGTAAAATTCATCAAACAGCCTAACATGACACTACAAACTATGACAATGAATAAAGACAGCGGTGAGAGACATTGTCTCTCTCTCTCTTTAGTTCATGAATACTTTTTTTTTCTCAGTGTGTAACACTTCTGTGGAAACTTTAGAGATCACACATTTTAACACTTAATCACCAATTTTAAGAGGATGAATGATGAATTGAACATCTAAAGGAAATAGATCCAAATACAGAAGAGATTTCTTAAGCATCATTTCATAATTCATTATAAAAGCTCAAGAGGCATGTTTGGAACAGGATGATTCCTTGTAACTTCATCTACATTATTTAAATTTTAATCCTAATCACTGGACATCAAGAATAAAATTTCATAAATTTATTTTATGCAGTGAGCCTCTAAATCTCAAGGCAAAGACTTTTTCCTCTCTAGAATTACCTGGGCATTTTAATTCATCTGAGTAGTCCCCACAGTCGTTAGATCCATCGCATATCCAACTTGGCAGGACACACAGTGAGGTAGAATTACATCTGATAAACCCTGTTGTTTTCACTCCAAGTTTGTAGAAATGTGTACAATCTGTATTATCTATAAGGAGGTAAACAGAAAAATGAAAAACACCTCATCTGTAAAGATTATGAGCCTTCTACGTTAAGAGAAGTTAACCTCGTTTGAAGGGGAAAAAAATGCAATTATCCTACACAACAGGGGTTAATGGCACATCAAATCTGGACAAGGTTCAGTGAAACATGGGGCAGTGTTCGATGGAATGCCAAAGTATCCAGGGAGGAACAAACAAAAGGTAGTGGGATATCTTACCGCAGTTCTTTTCATCTGAAGCATCTGCACAATCTATGTTCTGGTTGCATCGTGCTGATCTTGGAATGCATGTCCCATCTGCACAACGAAACTCAACAGAGGCACAGGTTGAAACTGGAAAATCAGGTAAATAAAGAAACGGATAGATGAGACGAAAGTAACTTCTTGCTCTAACATTCTGAGTACAGATGGTCTCTGACTTACCATGGTTCAAAATGAGTTTTTGACTTTGTGATTGTGTGAAAGCCATATGCTTTCAGTGGAACCTATACTTCACATATGGAGTTTTGATCTTTTCTGGAGCTAGAGATACACAATAAGATTCCCCCTCTCTCTCTCTCTCTCTGTCTCTCTCGATGCTGGACAGCAGCAGGGAGCCCCAGCTCCCAGTGAGACACGGGACTGCAAGGGCGAACAACCAAGAGACTTACAACCCAGATAACATTCTGTACCCAGACATGATTCTGGTTTTCAATTTCAGGAGGGTAGTCATTAAATTATATAAGATACACAATACTTTATTATAAAACTAGCTTTTTGTTGGGTGATTTTTCCAACTAGAGACGAATGTAAGTGTTCTGAGCATGTTTAAGGTAGGCTGGGCTAAATTATGACATTTGATAGGGTAGGTATAGTAAATGGATTTTGACTTATTTTCAAATTCTGATGGTGTATCAAGACATAACTGCTTTATAAGTCGAAGAAGATCTGTATTTCAACAAATTTACATAATTTTGTTTGGTTCTACTTTTTTTTTTTTTTTTTTTTTTTTAACACTGGGAAGTTAAACTTGACCCATGGCTCCCACCCTTGCAAGCTTGGGTTAGAAGTCTCATACATCTTCCCTGTAGCACACTAGTTCCTTCTGTTGTGGCACTTACAATACGTCATTGTGATTGCCCGTTTATGTATCTGCTCCCCCACTACGTTGTAAGCTCCATGAAAGCAAGGACTGTGCCTTGTTCCCATGATAATAGAAGTCTAGCCTTAAGCCAACATACCAAAAAAATTGCATGCTGCTGAAAAATTCTTTCTCCTTCCAACTTCAAAAGTACAAGGTTATAACACGAAGCAAATGTCTAATTGAGTGAATACAGGGAATTCCCAATCTGGTTGCAAAGAAGTAGAAATCTGCTTTGATAAAAAGAGCCAGACTGCCAGCTCAGAGACACTGAGATAGAGAAACCACTGAGCATTTGCTTTATTACTCACAGGAAATAGCTCAGTAATGCTAGAAAGTCATCTCTGCCATGTTATTCTCCTTTACATGGCCATATCACTAATATTTGCTATAAGAAATATGAAAGCCTCGTGCCAAGAAACATAAATGTGGTATGACTTGTCTCTATTGTTAGTAAGTATGACTTTCCAATTCCCTGCTATGCTTAGATGAAAATCAGTTTCAATATGCTGCTGTCATTATCTACACCTTATACAGAATAGCTTATGCTTAATCATATATTCCTTTCTACTTTGCTCACACATTCATTACCATATAATGGTTTCTCGCAATATGCTGTGAACAGGTGCATGACATGCTATGTACATTAGATTAACTTGGGTGAGAATTTTACTCCAAATTTGAATTTCCACAGGTTGCTTATGTAAATGTACAACCTGAAGGGCTCTTTGATTATGTCACTTTTACTAGTGTTGATATTTTAAAGAGACTATTTAATTATAAATAGAAATTATATCAATTGTAAATGGTTAAAATGGTATCTTAAAATATGCAAATTTTACTCAAGGGTGTATATGTCATTTGTATTTCATAATGCACTGTTCTTATTATATTTAATTGTACCTTGCAACTGTATCCTTATTTGTGCTTAAATGATGATTAGAATAAATGTTTTATTTACAATTTGCAATTATAATTGCCTCAGTGTTTTCTTCATTAAAAATAACATCTTATCATATGAAACAGATAATGCTATTATGAATAGAAATAAATACACTGTTCCAAACAGGGGGAAAAAAAAAGATATTCTTCTTTTATGTCTACAAAAGCAAAATCTCTTCCATATTCCCTTCTATTACATTTTACATTCAGTACTTTTTCAACAGAACCAGTAAATGGAATATATAACATAGAAAGCAATATGATAAGCATTTACATTTTGTTTCTTACTTTGCTATCGATCAGAATCTCCTATTAAGAAGTTATGTTCCAAAAGATACTGTATAGTCCCTCTGTTTAGAAGACAGGATTCATTTCTCTGTGAAACAACATTCTAGACACTGGTAATATTCCTAGACAAGTCTACATAGATTATATTTTAATACCCCTGAGTTTCTATCTTATGCTAACAGAGTTTAAGAAGGCCAGAAGGAGCCCAACGGTGGCAATCACAACTCATTGCACCACCTCCATCTCTCCCCAAACTTCCATAGAGAATCCTTTGTGTCTATGGCAGGGAGCCCATTTGAGTGGGGATTCATGGAAGATAGAGTGAAGAGGCAAATTATGACTCCATGAACATGAGGGTGGCATCTCACACAGTTAAGAGGACTTGAGATCCCGCAATGTCACTGTAATGGAGTTTTAAAAATCATTGTGTTGGGGCTCTCAGGTGGAAGTGCGTGTAAAGAATGCCTTGTGAGAAGAGTAGAAATGTGGAGCAAGTGGAACCCAGTTTTAGATGGTATTCTGTGGAGAAGAAGAAAGAAAGGAGCGGAAGTCTGACTAGATGAAAACAAACTATAACTCTGAAGTTGAAAAGAGGCTTTAGGAGACAATATTTAAAAGAAACACATGGGCAAAAGGATGAGGTAGGGGGTCAGGAGAACTGGGTAGAGTGTAGAATATTTGTAGGATGTACGTTTTCTTTTGTTTTCCAATAGAAAATATGTCGAATGAATCTTGGTGAGGCGGACTAGACAAGCCTATTAGAGTAGTTGCAATGTGTCAATAGGAAAACTGTTCCTTTACTTCAAATCTTCTCTCCGCAGAGTCTGTAAGTTGGTGTAGAGTATGGGAACCATCAGAGGGTTAACTAGAGTGCTTAAGTCACACTGAAATTGGACATACTAAGTGGTTAGAGAATTTTATATGCAGCAGAGGCAAGGTTGTGGGGATTAACATCTCCAGAATCTGTAGCAAGGAAGGAGAGGGAGATGGGAGGAGTTTGTGGAACTGCAAGAACTTTAGTAAATAGGTAAGCAAATGCCTCTTCCACCAAAAACCCTTCCTCTATGTTCCTTCAACTATATTTCTTCCCCCACTTTGTTTTGGTTTGTCAAGTATTGAAATATGTTTCACCCTTAGGGCAATTTTTGAAGGAGAAATGTGCTAGTATCTCTAATCTGTCAAGGAATATGAAAGCTTTATGTCAATTTTCCCTCAGGCTAAAAGTCCTGGAAAAGAGAGAAAAGAAAATAATGTAGTCCAAATAAAGATAATCCAAGTGAGAAATACTAGACTTTTCCCTCCAGGTAGTCCAAAAGAAGAAGGAAGCCTATGAAAAGTGAGTGAAAACAGCACAGCCACACCAGGAATAGCAATGAGATACTACAAAGGAAGATCTGACAGGACTATGGATCAAAGCAGCAGTAAGCAAGAATAAAACCGTTCTTCCCCTCATATACTTTCTTAATTTTCCTGTTTCATCCACTTTCTTTTCTCCATGTCAGTTAAAATATTTAATGAGATAGGAAAGATATAAGATCGATTGGTCTTTCTGTGGTTTTTAGGACACTTCTTATAAATAACTTAAGTCAATGTTTTCTAACTTTCCTGCCCAGCCTGCAGCACAGGGAAGCTGGCAAGGAAAAAAAAAAAAAAGGAAAGAAAGAAAGAAAGAAAACATTAAATTTGCTGTCATATCTCTTCTGTTTACTTTCAAACCGCATCTTTTATTAAACTTACAGCTTAGGCTCTAAAGGCATGCAAACCCAGAAGGGATGAAGATCTCTTCTACAGGCATGCTCATCTTCCTCCTTTGGCATATTACTGTTTGTGGATTCTTGAAAGTTTTGTTATGAACTTATGAAAAAACAAACACCAGTTTCCTCTCCTTTAGGTAGCCTTGGGACTACTTAGCTCCCCAGTCCACCTAAAGGTGTCCAGGTGGCCCAGGCAAGTTCATGTACTTCCCGAGGGGAGTAATTAGACCCATCTCAACTGGGAGAGAAAAAGGGATGTCATGTACTCTCCCTGAACCTATTCACACAACCTCTCACATAACCAGAAGAGGAATACAGAATGACAAACTTTCTTAACAATTCTTCAGGTTATCTCCCTCCACTCTGCCAGATAGCCTGATGTCTAAAACTCTTAGGGCAGTGATAAAAGATTTACAAGGATTTAGGGTTTTGGTTCTCCTCAAAAGGAGAAAAATCAAAAATGATTCCTTATAATATCCATATCCACTCTGTAAATAGACTTTCTGCCTTGTAGAATAAGAAAGAAAGAAGAAAGAAAGAAAGAAAGAAAGAAAGAAAGAAAGAAAGAAAGAAAGAAAGAAAGAAAGAGAAGGGAGGGAAGGAGGAAGGGAGAGAGGAAGGAATATTAATTACTACTAACATCTAAACTAAAGAAAAAAGTGTAATAATATTTCAAATAATTTACAGGTGATTCCACCGTAGCCTCTCTCCATAGCCTATCAAAATCTCCCTGTGTATACTGACTTTTTATTGTACTAATTTAAATTTTTAATGTTTTGTTTTATTTACATTAAAAAGTACTAGAGGTGCCTGGGTGGCTCAGTCAGTTAAGTGTCTGGGTTCATGGATTCCAGCCCCGGGTCAGGCTCTGTGCTGACAGCTCAGAGCCTGGAGCCTGTTTTAGATTCTTTGTCTTCCTCTCTCTGCTTCCCTCCTCCTGGCTTGCACCATGTCTCTGTTTCTCAAAAGTAAATAAAAAGCACTAACTTTTTTAAGTAATAAGTTGTGTGTGTGTGTGTGTGTGTGTGTGTGTGAATGTGCACATCTGAGTGCCCAAGTGTCACATGTATATATACAACAAAGCACTGCATCCACATGCTGCACTGATTAAAGATGCAGAGAAGGTGTATCTGGAAGGAAAGACTTGGGGAGAGAACTCCTTTTCTATTGTCCCTGAGCCCTTACACGCTCCTTTTCAGATTTCATTATTTTTTAGGTACTGTAAGGTTCCATTTGTTGGATGCATATGCATCTGAGTTACTGATTTCTAAGATAAACTGGTTTATGTCATGTAGACCCAGAAAAGTCTTTCCCTAGGATATGAAATGTACCCTATAAGAACCCTATGTGAATAAACTTAATATGAGGGAGAAACCAAATCCAAAGATGCAACTGTATTAAGTAATCTCTCATCTAAAAAGCTACCCATTTATTTATCCTAAAGGGGCTAGTCTACTTCCTTAAGTCTATTAATTTCTAGCATATACTTGAGTTTTCATGAGCACTTGTCATTTCAAGCATCCTATATTATACAGGAAGAATTTGAAGGCATAGATTTAGCTGTGCTGTTTTTAAGATATCCAATTGTTAGGATTTTTACACCATTATTATCACAAAAGAAAAGTCTTGACTGAAACTTGATTCATAAATGCAGTAGTTCTTGTTCAAGTACATGACTGAGAAAGTTATAACAAAAAAACCCAAAAGTTTAGTCTAAGAAAGGGGAAATACCATTGTGCGTTGTTTTTATTGTTATTCAGCAGCTGGTAGTGATAACATTAGGCAAAATAAAATCGGTCTATCTTTTTGGAAGACTTACTCTTTCACCAGCAACGTAACAATTTAATATATACCTGCCATGTACTAGGTACTCTATTTCATAAACTTAAACTCACAGACTAATTTGCTTACCACCTTTGAAAAAAATTTTTTTTCATTTTTCAAGAAAATCCACAGTAACTTATTACCTTCCCATGGTTCCTTTTGTGAATTTTGCTTTAAAATCCACTTTCTGTTTCTATTGTTCAGCTCCTTCACATTCTAGCTTGATATTTTTATCTTTATCCTAGCTAATGTCTTTATTCTCCTTTCCTGCTTGCAAATAACTGATAAAACATCCTTTTTTTTTTTTTTTTTTTTTTTTGGTCTAGTTACAGTTTGGTTTCCTCATTTCTTCCAAATATTTGTCCATTTCCCTACAGTTATTCTCAGTAACTTACTATATTTTACCATTTGAATCTTTTATAGGTAATATGAAATAACAGTTGATTTAGTCTGCAAAAGTATTTGGCTCTTCCGAAACTGCGGTGTCAACCTTAAATAATAAGCTACTCAAGTGTGCAGCCAAAGTCTTATAGTCTAAGATGACAGAGTAACTTCCTAACCCTTTTCTAGAGATAAAATTATTTGTGCACATTCTGTCCTCTTCCACAACTTTGCATCACCTTCTCATAGTAACTGTATTTCACATCTTTCTTTTATCATCAGTCTTTTCTCTTAAAAAAAATGTCTATTTATTTATTAGAGAGAGAGAGAGTGTGTGAGAGAGCGAGAGAGAGAGTGAAAGAGAGAATGAGAACAGGGAGGTGCAGAGAAAGAGGGAGATGGAGAATCTGAAGAAGGCTCAGAACTGTAAGCATAGAGCCTCACGTGAGGCTTGAACTCCCCAACCATGAGATCACGACCTGGGATGAAATCAAGAATTGAACACCTAACCGACTGAGCCACCCAGGTACCCCAACCATCAGTGTTTTCTAAAAATAGTCTTCTTCACTGTTTTCTAAATATAGTCTTCACCATCCATTTTCTGCTCCAACTCAATGAGATCTGGCTGTTCTTTACCATTGCTCTTTACCACTGAACTGAGTCTCATGAAGGTTACCAAGAGACTATCTCCTATTTGTCCTTACCAAGAGATTAGCTCCTATTTGCCAAGTTCACTGACCTTCTAGTCTATGCCTGACTTCTTGTGTTCCCCATGACACTTTGCAATGTTAACTGATTCTCCCTTCTTAAAAAATAACAATAGTTTCTTATGAAGATCTTTCTTAGTCCTGTGGTCTAATTCTCCTATTTTATATTATTAGTATCTTTATTTTTTTATTTCAATAGGCACTTCTGATTACTTCCCTACAAACTATTACTCCATACATCCTCTGAGCTTTCTCTCTATAATGAGTCGAAAATCAACTCTTTGATTCTAATATATTGCTGGAGCCCCAGCTCTATATCTATCTAAATGTCTTTGGAACAGTTCAATCTGAATGTCTAAAGATCCTACCCTCACAGAATGCAAATATTATCTTATCCCTACCCCACATGAACCAAAGACCCATAAAAATAAATTTAAAGTGAAAGGACTGCTGGATTGGGGTGCCTGGGTAGGTCAGTCAGTTGAATGTCTGATTCTTTGTTTCAGCTCAGGTGAAGATCCCAAAGTCATGGGATAGATTCACATTCAGTGTGGAGAGTGATTGAGATTCTCTTTACCTTCCCCCCAATCCATTTTCCCTAATAATAAAAATAAATTAATTAAAATTAAAAAAGGAATACTATTTTAATCCAGGCTTAAGGTAGATTGAAACGGAAGATATTTCAAAGAATTGGATGATTTATTGATGTATGGACATGTGGGTGATAAGATATGAGAGAGGAACCCAGAATAACACCAAGTTTTCCTGTCCAGTTGTTAGGAAAATGATGAAATCCACTCATGTGAAAAACAGAGAATTGAGAAATGAAGGAGAACGTTTTTAGAGTAGTACATTCAGTATTACACATTCTGGTAGAAATGTCCAATAAACAAGGAGGTAGAGCTGAAGTGGTAAGAAATGGCAAGAGTTCTGAAGTAAGTGAAGGGATGAAAACCAGAACAGAGAAAACAGTCATAATTTTCAATGAACTCTAATAACTCCCCTCCAACAGCATCTGCTAACATGTGGTCCATATATATTAGAAGGTGCTAAATACCAAAAAGCTTAAACCACTGTGCAGTCAGGGACACACTGTGGAACAGTTTAGGAAACACTTAGCATCATAATATTCCTAGGCTGATTCAGCACATACTTACCTTTACAGTCTATTTCATCAGAGTTGTCCCCACAGTCATTTTCACCATCACACAACTTGCCATGATTAATGCAACGACGATTGTAGCAGGGCTTGAAACCTCGTCGACAGCTTCTGTTTTCTTATAAATAAAAGTAGAAACAGAACTGGATGTCTTACAGAGATTTTTTTACAAAAAAGAAAATCACATATGACATCTCATTCATAACAATCGGATCATGGATCTATAAAACAAGTGCTGTGCAGGATCAAAGCTCTAGATTAGAATATTCATGCATTATCAAGTAGTTCATTCTGTAAAGACCTTTTTGACTAAGTCTCTTAACTTCAGTGTTCATACCTGGAGATCTCTTCAAATTATACTCATATTATTGTTTCTTGTATTTGTGTCAGCTAGCACGGAAATAAACGTATATTCAACTCTCCCAAGAAATAAGTCTCCTTATTAAGACCTCAAAAGTCATAAATACACTCGGGGCGCCTGGGTGGCTTAGTCTGTTAAGCGTCCGACTTTCGCTTGGGTCATGATCTCAACGGTTCGTGGGTTCGAGCCCCGCGTCGGGCTCTGTGCTGACTGCCAGTTCAGAGCCTGGAGCCTGTTTCAGTCTGTGACTCCCTCTCTCTCTGACCCTCCCCTGCTCACGCTGTCTCTCTCTCTCTCCTAAAAATAAATAAAAACATTAAAAAAAAAAGTCATAAATACACCCTCAATATCTATCGCTTATCTTCTTTGCATCCTGTAAGGATTTTCAAACAAGAAAAAATAGTGGCAAAACATGTATCCCTAAATCAGTGAATCAGAGAGCTACCTAGATGTCCATAAACTCTCTTAAAAATTATCTAGGGGCACCTTAGTGACTCAGTCAGTTAAGTGTAGGACTCTCGATTTCGGCTCAGGTCATGATCTCATGGTTAGTGAGTTCAGGCCCTGCACCCAGTTCTGTGCTGATACTAAAGAGCCTGCTTGGGATCTCTCTCCCGCTCTCTGCCTCTTCTCAATTTGTGTGGGCTCTCTCTCTCAAAATAAGCAAATAAACTTAAAAAAATATGGAAAATGTCTACCAAATTTTCTAAGAAGTAGAATAATTGCTTTCTGAAATCTATTTACTTTAAGGAGAATCTCCTGGGGCACCTGGGTGGCTCAGTTGGTTAAGCGTCTGACTTCAGATCAGGTCATGATCTCACGGTCGATGAACTCCAGTCCCGTGTCAGGCTCTATGCTGACAGCTCAGAACATGGACCCTGCTTCATAGTCTGTGTCTCCCTCTCTCTCTGCCCCTCCCTCCTTATGCTCTGTCTCTCTCTGTCTCTGAAATATGAATAAACCTTTAAAAAAATAAAAAAGAGGGTCTCTTGATATTTTCTGACGTTGGGCACAAGGTACCACTTAGAATAATAATAGCTGCCATTTACTGAATAGTAATTTTGTGCCAGGCTCTATATCGCGCAAATGTAAATATATATTTGTTTATTTAGTGTTCTGAATCAACATTCAAACTAGGTTTGTCTTATATTGAGAAACTAAAATATAGAGAATTACCCTTGCTCTTACTAGTCATATACTGGTAGGTTTAGGAACATAGATTTAACCTCAGGTGTAATTCCAAAGCCTAGAATTTACACTGAGGGGGTTATCCCACAGGCCGAATGCAGTCTGTAAGCATGTTCTTGTACAGCTCTGGTTCTAAGAATGCTTTTTATATTAAAAAAAAAAAAAGTTTTGAAAATAAAGGATAATTCACAGACAGCATTTTTGGCCCACAAAACCTACATTACCTAACTAGCTAACTGTTTACAGATAAAGTTTGCCAATCCCTGCTCATATGAATATTATCTTACTTCTCAGAGGATAAAAATAATATGAAATATATCCTCAGGACAATTTATAATAAATGCAAATTTGCATGCTGATTATATTTTTATATGCTTCAATATTTTCATAGTGTAGAGGATACGATCATTCATTCAAGTGACTATGCCTTTTCAGGTAAATTCACTACAATTTCAGTTATACAGTATACAGTAGATAGACAAATTCCATCTGACTATCATTTTTATGGACAGTGTGTGATTCTGCAACATAAAAGAGAGAACTGCCTGTGAATTGCCCAAACTCTATCTTCCTCTTAGTTTAACCACTCTTTGATTATTTAGGTATAATTATTATCCAGGTAAAGGAACAAAGGAGAAAAGTAGAATTGCTGAATTTTACAGGGCATACAATATCAACACTCTTATACTATAGTGCAAAAATAAATCAAACCAATTTAGAAATTATATGGAAAAATTCTACAATAACTATTAATGATTACACATACACAAATATCCAGAAAAAATATTGTTGTGATGAAGGTAAATATCAGTTGTTAGCTAGGCTCAAAAGGCCAATCTCTTCTCCCAAGAGAGAACAAAAGATTAACCATCACTTGGTGTCACCTAAAGAGGTACAGCTGGAGGAACTCCAAGTTTGATGGGGAGGATAGCTAATGTAATCAGCCTTTGTAACCAAAGACATTAGCCCTGGGCCAATCCTGGAGGCAAAAATAAGGACAACACTTTGACATCAACTCAACAATGTGCTATTGACTGATAGTGAAACTTTGCTGCAGAACAAACTTACAATATTTACCTGTAACTAATATTTGTGAGTTCTATTTTTAGTAATGCAACTCTAAAATGTATCACTACATGATGAATAACTAGACAGATAAAAAGAAACGCTCTTGGTGTATTTAAATTTGTACTTTGTAGATGGAAAGCCATAGGGATATTCTTCACTGACTATCGTGAGTACCGATTAGGAAATAAGGAGCCCCATCTGAACAAGAACAAAGCCAAATCAATGTCTTAGACCTGCATAGTATTAGAAACATCCAGAAAACCATACATATGAACTAAATGGAGATAATCAAACCAAAAACTGTAACAATAATTACAAATTTCTCTCTGAAACAAGGACATCACATATGGTACACTTACCACAGTAGAGTAGTTTCTCATCTGATTTATCCTTACAGTGAGGAATGCCATCACAGGTGAGCTGATAGTCAATACACTCTCCATTTCCACACTCAAACTCTGAATACATGTTGCAGGAGGAATTTTTTTCTGAAATGGAAAAACGTCAAGGTTTTTACTCAATAACAAACATAATGTTTGCGGTTTTTATCTTCTCTTTCTAAACCTTTTGGCAATTGCCTCTCTTCATTTTCCTTCTATACCTATTTGTATATTTTGCTAATTATTTTGTGACTGTATATGTGTGGAAAGAAGGATGGACTTAACTTTGGGTAACTATATTTATGCATATTGCTTAATAGTTCACCTTAAAAAGAAACTGTAAAAAAAGAACCAGTTAAATGAGCTCTGTACATATTAAGAGTCTGTGTGTGTGTGTGTGTGTGTGTGTGTGTGTGTGTCTGTGTCTGTGTCTGTGTTTTTTTATTGGGACCTATTTTTTACTCTCCAATACATTGACTTTTTCCAGACATGGACTTCTTGTTTTTAATTAATTGACTAATTAATTTTTATTTGAATGTAGTTGACACTCAATATTACCGTAGTTTCAGGGCAGCATTCTTTTCTTCTTAATGCTTGCTTGATTCATCTAATCTAAATTTGCCTCCAACCTATATTTCTCTCCAACTACCTTTTACCAGCTTCTGTGGTTCAGAAGTACTGGAATTGCTAAAAAGATACTCCTCAGCCTCTTGTTCTATGCATGGCGGGAGGTACCAGGGAGCAGACCTGCCATATGTGGCCAGCACCTCCTCCTTGAAATGCACAGGAAACCATAGATTAAATAGGCAGAAGAGCCTGATAAACTGAAATGCATGTGCACCAGAGTTTATGGGCTCCAAGTGACCACTGCCACATTGTCCCACTTCTAAATCTCAAGATTTTCATATGAAATTAAAAGTCTGAGTTTTTATGTGGCTTGCCCAAACTGTGAGCAAAGACCCATAGCAATGAAGTATGAACAAACAAACAAAAAACAAAAATATCTCTCTACAGCTAGGTTTCATTCCTGGAATGCCAGTGTGTGACGCCTGCTGTAGAAGAATCTTTCTTGGAGAACATGAACTTATTTTTATTCATAAATATATGAATTTACCATTTACCAGCAAACACTTGAAATCTACTCTTTTGGTTGCATCATGTGTTGTTTGCTTGCTTGTACCCAGTCCATTTACTGTACAGCAAAATCTAGTCATATTAATTATGTTGGGGGTAACTGGAATTCATTTATCTCCACTAATGCAGAAGACATAGCTCAATTTTATGGTTTGCTACCAATTTCTTTTTAAAGCTATATTTCAGAAATATTCCATTACAAAGCCACTAATACTACTTGAAGTTTCCAGTGTTATCTTTATTATTCCTAGGATTTATCTCATTTCCACAGATTATATATCAATCTATCAACCTGTGAGTTCTAACTGAACTCCTACATTGGTAATTGTTTTTTCACATTCCAAAAATATTTTGTTCTCTTGGTGCAGTCTAAATTTTAGTGGTTGTTAGATAAGGTAGAAAGTCATTTTAGAGAAAGTAACAAATTAAAAAATCTAAAAACTTTATTTTTTTAAAAAATTTAATGTTTATTTATTTCTGAGAGAGAGAGAGGGACAGCGTGAGCAGGGGAGGATCAGAAAGAGAGGGAGATACAGAATCTGAAACAGGCTCCAGGCTCTCAGCTAGATGTCAGCACAGAGCCCAATGTGGGGCTCAAACCCACGAACTGTGAGATCATGATCTGAGCTGAAGTTGGACGCTTAACTGACTGAGCCACCCAGATGCTTCCAAAATATAAAAACTTTAAAGAAAGAAAAGCGGGAGCACCTTGATGGCACAGTTGGTTGTGTCTGACTTTGGAACTGGTCATGATCTCATGATTAATGAGTTCGAGCTCCTCATTGGGCTCTCTGCTGTCGGCACAGAGCTTGGTTCGGATCCTCTGTTACCTCTCTCTCTACCCCACCCCTACTCACACTTTCTTAAAAATAAATAAATATTTCAAAAATCAAAGGAACAAATGTTAAGAAGGGTGCTGACATCACTCAACTTGATCACATTAGAGCATGGGCTGAACAAAATTCACTTACTGAGAATCTATTGACATTACAACGTTTCTGTCTACTTTCAACACATCTTGCTTAACTTCCCACTTCCGATGAAAACTAACCGTTATGACTGAAAATGCAAATTTGGAAAGGGCAAGATGGCAGAGAAGTAGGGAACTCCGCACTTTTCGCTCTCCCGTATTTCTCAAATGGAGAAGGCCGGAAGCCATAGGAACCCTTATAGAACCGCAGGAGTTTGGAAGTAAAATGAAAAGGAGACAGAGTTTGCTGAGAAAACAACCTTATAGGTGTGTGAGCACAAAGTGGGGAAGACAAAAACGGGCTGGGACCCAGAGACAGACAGGTAGGAGGAGCCCCCTTTGTGGGGAGCTGCGGTGAATCAAGGGGAAAAGAAAGAGTGGCTGAAACTGCCCAAAGAACTGTCCCTGTCCCTGGAGAAAAGAAAAACCTAAGTTCGGGACAGAGAGTGACCCGGTTCCCAGCTCTGGAGCCAACTTTGAGCTGGAAGCCCAGGTCCCAGACAGCGCCAGGAGAAACTGCTCCTCTGCTTTCCAACTCAATCTCGAGGGGAAGCAGTGTCCCTCTGTGCTGCTCCTCTGGCTGGATCCCCAGTGGGGAATCGGCCTGGACTGAAACCGCTCCGCCATTCTTCCAGCTGAAATTGCTCGGAAGGACTCGGCCTGCAGGTTTATATTTTGGGTGGTCAATAAAGCACATGGACTAAGATCTGGAAACGAGGTGTGGCTAGGGACATAGAGCATGGCTCACCTTGGCTGCGCCCATGGCACAGGGAGATCGGACCCAAAAGAGTGATTTGCAATTTCCAAGTCCCCCAGAAGGAACCTGGGCATAGCCATTTTTGTTCCCACAACCATCAAGCCGGGACTTCAGGGAGTAGCCCATGGGACACAGTGAAGTCTAAGACCCCCCCATACCAAACCACGCCCATCCCCACTACAGAGCTGCTTTTTTTTTTTTTTTTTACCTGAGCCCAGGGAAATACCAACATGGATGCACCGCTGTAATTTATTCTAGATCATTTCTTTCTATTCAGATATATTTTCTCTTGTCCCATTCATATCCCTGCACCCTGCTGTACTGGGCACTCTGGTCATTGGTTTGCTTAAACAATCACATTCAATCCATTCTCTAGATACATATTCTACACCTCCACCGCAACCTTTCTATCTCTCTCTCGGGAGTAATCAGAATATATACTTTCTCTGAGTAACATTATCTCCTTTTCTTTCTACTCGCCTCTTACCATATTCTCCTCTTTCTCTGAATTAAGCATCTTAGTCTTTCTACCTGGTTATTGTCCAATTTCACTTCCTCCCCTCCCTATCATTTCTCTCTTTGTATGTGCTCTTCCATTGGCACGACATACACCCTGCTCTTTATTTGTAGCTGGGAATTCTGGTCTTATGTTTGTAACCTGCCCTTTGTCTTTTGAGTTTTTTTCTTTTTTCTTTTCTACTTTTTTACTTTTATTTTTATTTGTTTTTCTCCTTCCTCTCTTTTTATCCTCCTTTTTTCTTTTTTTCATTTTTCTTTTTCTTTTCCCCCTTCAGTTTGTGTGTTTGTGTGTCTTTGTTCCCTTTGTGTTTTTCTGTCTGTTTTCCTTTCCAGGGCTACCTCAAGAAACAAGCCAAAGTACACATGGTGTAACGTCCCAAATACCACTACGAGTAGGGAAATAAAATAAACAAAGTCTCAACAAGAGAAACCAAGGAACACCATTCAAAGAACTCATCCTGAAAGGATAGACCCTGGACAATCAGGGCAGAAATAAACAATATGGAAACCAAAGAAACAGTTGAACAGATCAATGAAACCAAGAGTTGGTTTTTTGAAAAAATAAACAAAATTGATGAACCTCTAGCCAGGCATATCAAAAAGAAAAGAGGGAGCACCCAAATAGACAAAACACGGTTGAAAATGGACTTATTACAAACAACCACTCAGAAATACAAACAATTATCAGGGAACACTGCGAAAAATTACATGACAACAAACTGGACAACTTAGAAAAAATGGACAAATTCCTAAACACACACTCACTACCAAAATTCACACAGGAAGAGCTAGAAAACCTGAACAGACCCATAACTAGTGAGAAAATTGAATCAGTTATCAAAAACCTCCCAACAAATAAGAGCCCTGGGCCAGATGGCTTCTCTGGGGAATTCTACCAGACAGTTAAATCAGAGTTAATATCCATTCTTCTCAAGCTACTCCAAAAAATGGAAATCGAAGGAAAACTTCTGGACTCATTCTACAAAGCCAGCATCACTTTGATTCCCAAGCCAGACAGAGACCCAGTAAAAAAACTACAAGCCAATATCCTTGATGGATATGGATGCAAAAATCCTCAACAAGATACTTGCAAATCGAATTCAACAGCACATAAAAAGAATTATCCAACATGATCAAGTGGAATTCATTCCTGGGTTACAGGGCTGGTTCAATATTACAAATCAATCAGTGTAATACATCACATTAACAAAAGAAAAGATAAAACCCATATGATCCTGTTGATAGATGCAGAAAAAGCATTTGACAAAATACAGCATCCCTTCTTAATAAAGACTCTTGAGATAGTTTTGATATAAGGAACTTATTTAAACATCATTAAAGCCATTTATGAGAAGCCTTCAGCTAACATCATCCTCAACGGGGAAAAACTGAGAGCTTTCCCCCTGAGATCAGGAACACGACAGGGATGTCCACTCTCACCACTGTTGTTTAACATAGTGCTGGAAGTCCTAGCATCAGCCATCAGACAACAAAAGGAAATAAAAGGCATCAGAATTGGCAAAGAAGAAGTCAAACTTTCATTTTTCACAGATGACATGATTCTCTACATAGAAAACCCGACAGACTCCACCAGAAGCCTACTAGAACTGATCCAAGATTTCAGCAAAGTTTCAAGGTACAAAATCAACGTACAGAAATCGGTTGCATTTTTATACACCAATAATGAAGCAACAGAAAGAGAAATCAAGAAACTGAACCCATTCACAATTGCACAAAAAACCATAAAACACCTAGGAATAAATCTAACCAAAGATATAGGAGATCTGTATGATGAAAACGATAGAAAACATATGAAGGAAATTGAATAAGACACAAAGAAATGGAAACTTAAATGTTAAAAATTAAATGTTAAAAGTTAAAATGTCATTATATCCAAAGCAATCTACACATCCATTGAAATCCCAATCAAAATTGCACCAGCATTCTTCTCAAAACTAGAACAAATGATCCTAAAACTTGTGTGGAACCAAAAAAGACCCCAAATTGCAAAGTAATATTGAAGAAGAAAACCAAAACTGGAGGCATCACCACCCAGACTTTAGCCTCTACTACAAAGCTGTCATCATCAAGACAGTATGGCACTGGCACAAAAACAGACACATAGACTAATGGAATAGAATACAGAACTCAGATTTGGACCCAAAAGTGTACAGCCAACTAATCTTTGACAAAGCAGGAAAGAGTATCCAATGGAAAAAAGGCAGCCTCTTTAACAGATGGTGCTGGGAGAACTGGACAGCAACATGCAGAAGAATGAAACTAGATCAATTTCTCACACCATCCACAAAAATAAACTCAAATAGATAAAGGACCTGAATGTGAGACAAGAAACCATCAAAACCCTAGAGGAGAAAGCAGGAAACAACCTCCTTGACCTCCACCGCAGCAATTTCTTACTTGACACATCCCCAAAAGCAATCAAGAACAAAACCGAACTATTGTGACCTCATCAAGATAAAGAGCTTTGGCATGGCAAAGGAATCAATAAAACTAATAGGCAACTGACAGAATGGGAAAAGATAGATGCAAATGACATATCAGATAAAGGGCTAGTATCCAAAATCTATAAGGAACTCACCAAACTCCACACCTGAAAAGCAAATAATCCAGTAAAGAAATGGGCAGAAGATATGAACAGATACTTCTCCAAAGAGGACATCCAGAGGGCCAACAGACACATGAAACGATGCTCAGCATCCATTGTCATCAGGGAAATACAAGTCAAAACCACACTGAGAATCGCCTCACGCTGGCCAGAGTGGCTAAAGTGAACAAATTAGGAGACTCTAGATGCTGGCAAGGATGTGGAGAAACGGGCACCCTCCTACACTGTTGGTGGGAATATAAACGGGTGCAGCTCCTCTGGAAAACAGTGTGGAGGTTCCTCTAAAAATTAACAATAGAACTCCCCTATGACCCAGCAATAGCTCTGCTAGGAATTTACCCAAGTGATACAGGAGTGCTGATGCCTAGGTGCACATATACCCCAATGTTCATAGCAGCACTCTCAACAATAGCCAAAACATGGAAAGAGTCTAAGTGTCCATCAACGGACAAATGGATCAAGAAGATGTGGTTTTTCTATACAATGGAATACTACATGGCAATAAAAAAGAATGAAATCTCGCCATGTGTAGCAACATGGATGGAACTTGACGGTGTTATGCTGAGTAAAATAAGTCAGGCCGAGAAGGACAGATACCCTATGTTTGCAAGTATAAGAGGATTAGGAGGAACTTAAAGGAGGACCATGGGGGAAGAGGGGGGAGAGGATAGTTAGGGAGAGGGAGGGAGCCAAACCATGAGAGACTCTTGAATGCTGCGAACAGACTGAGGGCTGATGGGGGTGGAGGAGAGGGGAAGGGGGTGGATAGGCATGGAGGAGGGCACTTGTTGGGATGAGCTGAGTGTTATATGGAAACCAATTAGACAACAAACTATTTAATAAAAAGAAAAGAAAATGCAAATTTTGTTTTTATAATCAGTATGGCTTTGAGGGGGGAAACATTCACAACAAAAATGTTTTTATTATGTAAAATCAAATTTTATATAAGCACAATTCTTGTTTAGGTATGCTCATATGAAATAGTATTGAGTATTTTACACTTCTTTGCAGAAACAAAAATGTAGTTCAGCTGTCCTCTAATTCACTTACAATGTAATTACTTTAATGATATTTGCTATTCTTATTTCTGTTGTGGGTGTTGATAAGGTTAGGAATTTTGTGTAAAATGGAACTGCCTAATCTTTCTGTCAAGAATATTGACAACCCATGGCTTTCCCTCGGTTCCTCTGAGGATGGTGTTAGTAAATGGCCTTTCACCCCTTCAACACAGCCATTAGCATTCATGAACTGCTCTGGGTGAACTAATTCAGATATGCACATAGATATGCCAGAAATATCCCCATTTCCCAAAGATGGATTTGACAAGAAGTTACTTTCCAATCTCTCTGCTAGACCACAGGATTTCAATACGAATGCTCCATGGATATAGCAAGCTTCTATAAAGGTCTGTCAGCTCTGAGGAATCCAATATCACTCTATAGTTGCATGTGAATACAACTGTGCTTGTTTAAAAGATAGTTTTCTTTCTCATTCATTCCCTCTCATCAATAGAGAGAAGCAGGTGGCTTAGTAGGGACAGATGTATCTAATCTATTTTGCAGGGAGCACAGGCATCTACTGTATACAAATAAGCTTTGCTGTTTCGACTACAGGCATTGCTTTTCTACTGGCCTGTAGTGACCTGTGAAAGAAACATGAGTGATTCTAATGCATGGCTAACACTCCAGGCTTACAGATGGCATCAGATCCAGTCCATTACAGCTGAAACCACAAAAGCAAACTGAAAGAGAGTTTAAGCAATTGCCTGAACAATTCAAGGAAGTGTGGGGTTACTAAGAAATACAGGAATTTGTGGCCCGAATTATTAAAAATGTCTTCATTTAAAGTTCACTGAACAATTGCATCATTCCCTTGTTTGCTTTGGCACAGTCTTAAGTAAAAGTTTTTTACTTCTTTTGCTAACAGGTGTCCTTCGGGTTGTGGTACCAGTTTGTGATGTGAAAAGATATGTCTGTGTTCTTGTATGAGGTGGAACAGTTTTCAAGGTAAAGAAAACGATGTTAAAGTGCTCGCATTAAAGTACACAACAGAAAAAAGGGAAGATCCTCCTGGTAAATAAAGACCAAATACAAAGATGAAACATACCGTCTGATACAATGGAGCACATCCAGCTCCACTGATTTTCTAAAATGAAAACATGTAAGATGAAGATATACAAGAGAAGAGAAAGAAAGCAAAACAATCGCCACATCCTGAGAATGAGTTCACCAATTTCTGGCAAGATATTTTTCTCCTGTCTTTGTTATACACAACAGTTTTAACGTTAAAGATAAATTAACATTCTTTATGTTGCCGGCTAATTTCTCATGGCAATATAGGAACACTTGAACCCTTATTTATTTTGGAAACAGTTTGAAAACTTAGCTGTTAATAAGTGTATAGTGTAATGGTACTAATTAAAGATTGTAATGCCTTTTGGGAGGTATAAACATCATGCAAGGCTGCAGTGTTACGTTCTTAATTAACCGTTTGGAAATGATTACAAATAAGCTGTATGAGCCATTGTCTCTCATTTACATACTGTGATGGACCGTGAGCAGTTTTACTACAAGGCTACTGACCTACTGCCTATATACTGGTTTATTTCAGCTTTATTAATTTTGCAATTGACTTAATTCTCAAAGTCGTAACCGCAAGTTTGCAGATGATTATGTGTGCAGGTATTTCTCTTAACTCATCCAACACCCTCCAGCCCACAAGAGGGGAAATACACCATTTGCCACTGTTTGGATTATCATTATTTATCATACGGTGTCACAATTAAGTAGAATGGTGAATTGAGTTCTTTTTAGGATAGAGAGATATGTCAACTGGGCCTCTAATATTGGAGGAGAGTACAACTTCATGAATACTAAAACAATTTCAATGTCTGTGTGTACTTTTTGAGCAGTTATGTCATATGACATTTCAATATTCTTTTTTTTTTTTTTTTTTTTTTATTTATTTCTAGGAGAGAGAGAGAGACAGCGTGAGCAGGGGAGGGTCAGAGAGAGAGGGAGTCACAGACTGAAACAGGNGAGAGAGAGAGAGACAGCGTGAGCAGGGGAGGGTCAGAGAGAGAGGGAGTCACAGACTGAAACAGGCTCCAGGCTCTGAGCTGGCAGTCAGCACAGAGCCCGACGCGGGGCTCAAACCCACGAACCGCGAGATCATGACCTAAACGAAAGTCGGACGCTTAACCGACTAAGCCACCCAGGCGCCCCAACATTTCAATATTCTTTACTTACTCACACATCTGTTGTCATCTAGCAATATTCGATCCCCCCTGCAGGAACAATTCACTCTCCCATTAGGAGTTAAAAGGCACAGGTCATGGCAACCTCCATTTAATAATGAACATGGAGAAAGTTCACCTGCAATAAAGAAGCTTTATTGGTAACATTTATTTTGAATTCCTATTCTATGTTAGATAGAGATTAATACTAAACTGTTAGATTGCACCCATCTCTCAAAGATAAAAATAAGAAAGATTCAGGACTTTTGATGATCCAAACATCACAAGAAATAAGAACTTTAGAACAACATGTAACATAGCAGCTTCTAGAACATTTGTCAAGGATACCATGGCATCACATGAACTAGAATCATTAAAAACCACACTGGCACTTTAAGCTGAAATTTTTGTAGGTGTTCCGCAGTGGTTAAAGAACATGAGCCCAGACGTAAAGCTTATTTATTAAGAAGTAGTATTTTCAAGGAAACAATCTGATTTGAATGTTCAAAGATATGCAGAGTGAGAGAGGATACAATTCCAGAAATAAGTAATTAGAAAGGAATTGTTCCTCTGGTGATAAATTAAGAACTGCAGCAGGTATCTTAAACCTTTCAGATGATTTTAATATATTGCATAGTCAAATCCTGAACACTATTCCAGTAACTTTAAGAAATCAAAATCCAACTAAGTACCACTAGAACATAGAGATGATTTTTGAGAGATTATATAATTAAGATAAACATTTAGTGGATAGTGTCACTTACAGCTATTGGTGTCACTGGCAACAGCTATGATTCCCATTGGTTGATGTGGAATATCAGAACGAAGAATTTTTGTGTCTCCCCCTGTATACTTGTTGGAACGCAGAATAGCTCTTCTTCCCCAATCTGACCAGAAGATATAATTGTCATAAACAGCCAAACTGAGGAAAGTTCCTGGCCCAGATTTGACAATCACCTGAAATAAATTTAAATATAGTTTTAAATGAAGATATAGGCATTCATATATATATATATATATATGTATGTATATATATGTATGTATATATTCATATATATATACTTTTACTTTTACTTCAAAAAATTTAAACAATTAATATTAGATTTAATCAATGAAAATCAGACAAAAATGCATTTTACTACATGCATTTTATAAAATTCTTAATAGTTTATTTTAAATGTTTTAATCATCCTTAGCTTTTACAATGTATTCATTTAAATTTTAAGTATATTTCTATTTAATAATTATTCAGTTCATATAAACAACTGCATTTTTTCAATATTATAAAACAAAATCACCAGGCCAAAAATATGAGATTCTGTTTACTAATAAACATTTATTTATCTTTATTAAGAATCATCAGACATCCAGTGAACATTGATCAAGCTCTCAGAACTGTATAAGGGATATAAAGAACTATAGGACCCAGGTTTTCCTTCAGGAAGCTTTCACAATCTCTTTCCATTATAATTATTCCCATGACAATTATTTCTTTTTCCAATACAAAATTCCATTGCAATACTCCCTTATATGTCTGTCATGTGAGAGTCCTGAAGAAAACGTTCATTGATGTTTTAATAAGTATCATGGATATATTTTTTCCTTAACACATGTAATGTAATGCTACTGAGGGAGAAAAAAAAACACAGATGAACTACATGCATGTAACAGTGTCGGTCAATTTCAGAATAATTATGCTGAGTGAAAGAAACCAGAAATAAAGATATCATTATATAATCTAAAAACAAAACAGAACAACAAGAACAGTGTTTCCCATGGACAGAGTGGGGCAGGGGAGGGATGGAAAGAGAGAGATTAAAAAGGGAAATGAAGAAATCTTTAGGAGACATGGATATGTTCATTTTCTTTCTCAGCCTCTAGAACTCTAGGAAATAAATGCCTGTGGTTTAAGCCAACCAGTCTATAATATTTTGTTACCGCAGCCTGAACTGATTAAGCCAACAGCTTCACTCCTTCCATTTAGAAAAGCCAAGCTTTAAGATTTATATCTACTTTAAACTTCAATAAATATTTTTTTAAAAATAGCAAAATGATGAAGGAAAGATTGTTATGAGAATATAAAATGACAGTTGCTCTAATGTGCTATCTGGAACGAATTTCCTGAGAAAGGGAACAATGAATAGTCAGTCGGACAAGAAAAAGAGAAAAAGAGAAGAAAGGTTCTGGGCAGAGGGAATACATGGTATCAAAGCCAAGAGGAAGAGGGAACAGAAAATGCTGGGAAAATGAACAAAGGTTAAATGAGCATGACAGTCACTCAGACATCTGACAAAAGGGTCCCAAGAACCTGGTGAGTAAGACCAGAAGGGCAAATGTATAAGGTAGATCAAGGCTATGAATCTGAGTTCTGTTGTGAAAGTTATAGTAAGTCATTCAGATTTTTGAAGCACATTAATTAACATTATTGGTTTGTAGTTTTAAAGATTATTCTGCCTCTGGTGTAGAGATTAGATTACACAGAAACAAAAGAGCTGCAGAGAGACCAATTAAGATCAGCTGCATCTGTCCAGATAAAGGTTAACAGTTTTGACGTTTTACTTAAGGTAAGAGAGATACAGAGTAGAACAGTATTTGCACATGGACTTCCTAATTCATTTTTATCAAAATTTATGAGGGTTTTCATTCACTCACTTATTCACACATTCATTCATTCAATGTCCTTTTACCATTTTTTTTGTAAACAATAAAAGCTTCATGAACGCTTCCAATATGTAGGAAGTCTATGTATTACATGTATAAAACCTAATTTTAATCTTCATAGTAACTGATAGAGTAAATACCACTTCATTCCACATTTCACTGATAAGGACTGAAGCCTGACAAGGTTATATAATCAACCCTAGGTCATAGATTTACTAAGTGATTTGACGTTGTTTCTGATCCAAATAGATTCAGACCCAAATATTCAGACCAAACATTCAGGACTAGATCAGCTAAGATCTGATTTTAATTTTTTATATAAAATTTGCTTTAATTATAGAAACTGGGGAAATTTTTCTTTGATATTAGTATATGTATATGTACTGCATTATTTTATCTAGGCTCCTTCAAGTTAGGAACTAAAGTATTATCTTCGATTCCCTTTTCTATACAGTATCATATTTGGCATGAACAAAATACACACTTTGATGAATCACTAATAATGAAAAAAAATTTTAATAGTTAGACATAAATAAAATTAGGGGGTTTCAAATGAATAACAAATAGGGGCGCCTGGGTGGCTTAGTCGGTTAAGCGTCCGACTTTCGCTTGGGTCGTGATCTCATGGTTCGTGGGTTCGAGCCCCGCGTTGGGCTCTGTGCTGACTGCCAGTTCAGAGCCTGGAGCCTGTTTCAGTCTGTGACTCCCTCTCTCTCTGACCCTCCCCTACTCACACTGTCTCTCTCTCCCTCCTAGAAATAAATAAAACATTAAAAAAAAAAACAAAAAACAAAAAAAACAAATGAATAACAAATAGCTAGTCATATGACAATGAAATTTTTTCTATGTTGTTACCAAAAGTCTATTTGGTACATACAGCAACTTCAATGAATTTTAACACTGATTGAGTTTAGGAGTTTACTTCTCTACTTCTGCTGACACAGAGAAAGAGGAAAAAAGCAACTTAAATCAGTCTATAATTATGCAGGTTGCTTCAATAGGGTACAATAGGTTCTACTGAGAATTGAGCTGACTTCAGACATCTCATTTCTCTGGTTAGAGTTCCATGTGGAACAGAGAAGTGAAATCCACTAAATTACACTTTCTCGTCTCCCTGTTAAAACATTTTTATCAAAAGTTCACAAATACTGTACCTTGCAAGCCTAATCAGCATCTTTATTTACACTGCAGAAGCGTGGTCATCACAAATTGCACTTTACCATGTTATATGGTAATGTACCATTATGGCATAATTTTGAAGCACTTTCACCTTGAACCTATAAATAGGCTCATTTTTCAAAGTAAGAATTCCTGTTCATTCATAAAATGCATTTCTTGACACAGTATCCTCCTAGATGGACAATTAAATTGGTAATGCCAATTAGACCTGAAATTTTGTGTCAGGAATTTAATCACTAATCACCTGATTTTCCATCTTGAAACTTCCCTGATGCCTTGCTGGAAGCACTAGAGCCAATAAAAGAATACAAAAATATTCAGTTTTATAAATCAGACAACCTATTTCCAACACCCAGATGCTAAATGTTAAACCAAACGATTTAAAAGCCAAGCGAACAGGAGGCTTCCCAAACACCTCAGGTGATTACCTCACTGACAGGATGCTAAAAGATCATTATGAGAAATGACAATTTGGCCCCTGCCATGGTCAGGCATGACAACGTGTTACAGGTTGTAAAGATACAACTGTGGTTGCTTTAATTGCTTTAGCTTGGGAGAGAATGGTAATGTGTAAATCAACAACTCAAAACTAAGAAGTATTTAATTTTAGAATAGATGACTGTATTTAACTTGCCTGAGTTCGAAGAAAATGAAGTATCAAAATGTCATTAGTGTCCAACCAAATATGAAAAGAACACCATGCACAGGAGTCATCTAACAGACTGCCTATTGTGTGAAGGGGCTGCCAGCCTTAGAGAGGCAAACCATCATAAAGGGAGAGGAGAGAATGAATTTCTTTGCTTTTATACTCTCTCTTTCCGGTCTTTCTATTAACCAAACTCAACCAGATGCCAGTGGACTACAAAGCAGGTTGATGACAAGAAAACCTGCTAGTGGCAGAGAACAAGGGGAAGAAGGTGTGGGAAAGATCTAGTAGATATGCCCCAGAGAAGTACAGAAGTGAACCCTATTCTGAGACTCATTAGTTTTTCCCAAATAATCTATTTGGCTTGTTGGAATTCAGTCCTCTAATCTATAAAATGGGATAGTAAAAATCAGTGACTCAACTCTGCTCTTTTTCCAAGGAAAGAGAAAGAGTAAGGTATTTCCCAAGGCCACACAGAGAAAAATAAAACGGAGATATTCCTGAAGTGTTACAGCCATTCCTAAATGGAATTTGAGCAAATTTTTAAAGTTCCAATTACCATGTCTTCATATATGATTGCAGTACTAAAGGTATAGTTTGCCCAGATATTTATTTGGATATATTTAGATAGTTTGAAATTCATAAGCTGGTTGTATTAATAAAAAGTAAACTAAAAAAACCCTAAATATAGTTTTTAGTAAGTTCTTTCTGCTTTGAATTCCTTCTAAAATTGTCCCACTGTGAGACGCTCTGAGAAATGACTTCCTTGAGAATGCCTTCCCTGGTACTCAAAGCAAAATGTCTCCTTCCTTTTCAGACACACATTCATTATAACACTTGTCAGAGAATATCATAAGAGCTTATGTTTTACCCATCTCCCTGGCAACACTGAAATATTTGAAACCAGCAATGATTTTGTTTCATTTTTGTAACTCAAGTGCTTAGAATAGGACATATTTAACATTCAATGATTATTTATTTATCAAATCAGTTAATAAAAGAATGGTTTAAAAACATTTCTTCTTGTGTTTGGGTTTCTTTCTTTTGCTTCTGTTTTTTCAAGGTATATTTTATATGAACTTGGAACTCACCTTTGTACTTTATATGAGTGTACATCCAAAGATATAATCTTTGTCTTTGTAAAATGGTATTACCCAAATTTGTGTTTTACTGAAGAACTGTAGCCATAATCTTCTCAGCTTCATATTCATGCCTTTGATACATATTTCAGTGCTGTTATACTCTAGATCATTGTCTACATACAACTCTCCTGGCATTTTAATATTTTACTAGGAAAAGTGAAGAGCTAGTCAAAGAAGTGTATATTAAATAAAAACCTCTTATGTCAAAGGTATACTGAAATGCCAGTTTTCATTTTTCAAATTGGGACTGACAGAATATCTGACAGAAATCAAATATTATTTTGGATGCTACATGATAAGAAGTTAAGAAAGTGGCCTGTACAAAGCAA